CTACAATCCCTACCCACACCGGCACATGAACTACACAGATGATCTTTGTGATGTCTAGATAAGCACAGAATTCTGCCATGATTAATCTTGGGCAATTAGTCTCTGGTGGGAGACATGTTGAATGTCCAGAAATCAACTACATGTTAAGCACTATCTTGCAGTCACAGAATTTCTGCAGTTTTGTGCTTGGGTCTTAGTCACTGGGTCCTGAGATCCACTCTGCCCCATGAACTTAGCTTGCCCTTGGAGAGAGTTTAGGCATTCCCAACAGAAGACACCTATGAGTGCTCTGCCTTATTGAGTTTGTCCCCTGTAGTTTGTAGGCAAATGAGGGGGTGTGCAGGCCTACATCCCAATTGGTCTTTGACTGCTTTCCCAGGCCACAAGCAAGGAGCTTACTATAGGCACTAATTGCTGTGAATTTCCTTTTAACACTGCTTTTGCCATATCCCATAAATTTTGATAGGTCTTGCTATCATCTTCCTTATTGTAATGGAGTTTGTCTCCCTTTTTAGAGCCATCTTTAGATTCATCTTATTTCATCCTTTCACTTTCAATCTGTGTGTCTTTTTTTTTTGTAATTTTTGTAATTTTTGTAGGCAGCAGATAAATGGGTCTTATTTCTTAATCCATTCAGACAGTCTGTTTAACTGGAGAGTTTTGGCCATTTGCACTCAGGATTATTATTGAAAGGTAAAAAACAATTACTGTTTCCTTTAGACTTGCTTTGTACTTTCCCTAGAAGACTTTCTACTTTCACATTATTTCCTTGTGGTGATCATCCTTTTTCTAGTTGGGTGAAAATCACATCTTTAAACATTTGTGAGGATGGAACATGATATTTCTTTCAAATTCTGATTGTTTTGGAAGGTCTTGGCTTTATCTTCATTTGTAAATAAGAACTTTGCCTAATGAAGAAATTACCAACCCAGAACATTTTATTTTAGGACTTGGACTGTCTCCCATTCTCTTCCAGCCTGTAGGATCTCTAATAAGAAATCAGTTATTAGTCTAAATGAGGGATCCTCGAAAGATAACCTACAATTTCACGTGTATATTTTGGAATATTTCCTTTGTTTTACTGTTGAAAATTTGATTATCACATTCATTATGAAGGTCTTTTCTGATGATGCCTATTAGGAGTTCTCTGTGTTCTCTGTAGTTTTCTTTATCCACATTAGGGACATTTTTTATTTCACTGCAGAGATCTTCTAGTACAGTGTCTTTGCACATCTCAGCAAATCCCAAGGTATGTATGATTAGTCACTGATTTTTTTTTTTCTGTCACATTGAGATAATTCTAGAGTTTTGTCTTCTCAGGTATTCATTTTGCTCCCCTAAGCATGCTATTGAAACTTACCACTGTATTTTCTAATTGGCACATTTAATTCTTTTAACATTTCTGCTTAATTTTAGAATTTCAATCTCTCTGTGAATCTATCATCCATATCACATATGGATTTTTCTCAATAATTTATGTGTGCTTTTAAGTAATCCTTTGATCATTTTTGCATTTTTGTGCATTTTATCAATTTCTCCCATTAGAACGTGATCATTTTGATACTGAAGAGGAGGTGTATTCCTGATAGGAATACATCATACCGGCCCTGTTTCTTGTATTTCTGTTTACTTCTAGGCATCTGGAAAAACACTTACTGGTTCTCTTTGGTTTTTATGTTTAGATGATGCTTCTGTGTGTTGAAGGATGAGCTACTCCTTCAGGGAAAGTCCAGAGGTATAACCAGGTTGAGGTAGGGGTGCTCTGAGCAGCATTCAGATGCGGGATGAAAGATCCAGAATGCCATCCAAGTTGGCTGTGGGAGATCTCATTGCTTTTCAATAGGAGGGAGTGTGAGTGAGTGATTATGACCACTAGTGTAACATTGCCTCACCTCTTGTCTTTTACAGTGATGAATGGCTACAGTTAGCCTCCTGTACTTACAACACCCACCCATGCTGATGCATGAGTTACACAGAATCTCTGGTGTCAATGTGAACACAATCCTGTTAAAAAAACACCTTGGGTAATCTAGTCTTAGTGTTTGATGTCAGATACCCTGAGTGTCCAGAGACCCATGTACACAGTGAGCCCTACTGTGTACTCCCAGAATCCCCATGGCCACTTTGCTCAGGGTTCCACTGTCACCAGGAATGGAGGATCTGCTGAGCTGTGAGCCTCTGTACCCACAGAGTGCAGTAGTGTTCCCAGTATCAGCTACATGTGCTGCTTTGCCTTGGGAGTTTCCTCCCCTGAGACTGTAGCAGTGTGAGGGTGTATGTGTGCCTGCACCAGAAGCATGTATAGCCCTCTGTGGGGAGCATGATTTGTTCGTCCCTAAAAACTCCCTGGTCATTCCCATGGGCAGATGCTTGTGAGTGCTAAAGATTCCTCTACCTTCACTGACCTTTAGCTGGCCAAATTTTAATGTGGTCTGGTCCTCCCCTGGGATGGAGTGGGCTGTTGTCTCCTGATAATTAGTGGACTCCCTGCTCCTGTCCTGGCTCCAATCTGAGTCCAAAGTCAGTGTGGTCCATACGATTCTGTGTTGGGTATTAATGCCACAGTGCTGGGTTCTGTGATTGGAATGAAAAAAGCCACTGTGCCTTTTCCTGGTATCAAAATGATGCTGACGCCTGTGCATTTTTCAGGTGTTATAACACAGTATTTAAACACATGGAGTAAACTGATCAAAGAGTTGGAGCATTTCCATTTCCTTATCTTTGATTCGTCACCTTAGGAGTTCCTCTCAGTCCTTCATTCAGTACAAACACCATTGGGAACTATCATGGCCTGGGGTAGAGAAACACTGATAAGTTCATAGTGACCTGGCAAAGGTAGATTTGGTTTGATGGTGGGGCAGCAATCAGACAAGAAGACACCTCCACCCATGGGTCTCTAAAAGATCCAGGGTGTCATCATCTGCTGTGATGTTTTCTGCTATCACTTTTAGCACCATTACATGGGGTTATCACTTTAAGCACTATTACATGGGATGTTTCAGAAAGTAACACCCTGCTTATTGATGGTCGTTTTTCCCTTTTTTCTTTTTTTTTCAAAGACTTATTTATTTTTATTACAAAATCAGATATACAGAGAGGAGAGACAGAGAGGAAGATCTTCTGTCCAATGATTCACTCCCCAAGTGAGTGCAACGGCCGGTGCTGCACCGATCTGAAGCCAGGATCCAGGAACTTCCTCCAGGTCTCCCACATTGGTGCAGGGTCCCAAGGATTTGGGCTGTCCTCGACTGCTTTCCCAGGCCACAAGCAGGGAGCTGGATGGGAAGTGGAGCTGCTGGGATTAGAACCGGCGCCCGTATGGGATCCTGGGCACATTCAAGGCAAGGACTTTAGCCACTAGGCCATGCCGCCGGGCCCCAGTGGTGGTTTTTTACCTCCCTTGTCACCTAGGTATCAGCATTACAACAAGCCTTTACACACATAGCTAATGTTACTTTTGAACAACAAACACCACCTCCACTCAGCTGACATCTACAATGCCCTCTTTGCCCAGATAAGATTCCATGTGCCTGCCCCCAGCCTCAACTAGACATACTCTCAGTTCTCTAACCCATGTTACCCTTGGTCATGAATAGTCCCGCTGTTCCCATTTTTTTCACTGGCATGTGTATTTCCTGGGGATGAGGGCTAATGGAGTTGTCCAGCTTCACCTTGACCATCCTTCTCTGCTGTGAGGTCATGGGATGTATGGCCATTGTGCTTTGCTCCTATCTTATTGCTGCAGTGCCAGGTTCCATGTCCTTTGTTGGCCTTGCTGAATTTCAGAGTTCTCCCTTGGGCACTCACCTTGAACTGCAACATTTGGTGCTTTGTTCTTTGTGGAGGAACTGAATGTCATGTGCCTTTGTTTGGTATATTGGGATCTCTTTAGTTTCTGACATTATTGTCATTCATGCTTGAATGACATGTATTTCCTGACTATACGTGGTAGCTACCTAATCAGTATTGAAGCAGTGTTTTGTCACAAATGAAAATCACAAGTAACACAGCCTGGGCCTGGAGTGCTGAATCTTGGCTAATTGTGTGGTCTTAAGTCATGACTCTGCTAAACTTGTTTGTTCATCAGTAAATTCAGGACCTAAGTCTCTGCTACATAAGGTTAGCATAAAAGGTTTGAAAATAGATCTTGTAAGATGGGTCTAGTTTGGCCAGACATCCCCAATCTGCATTTTAGTTTCCAACATATTAATGTAATGTACTTCTAGGCTAACATTTTAACCTTTTTAAAAAGGTTAATTTCTTTCATTTACTTGAAACACACCCACCCCTTCTAGAAATCTTCAACCTGTTGATTTACTTCCCAAATGCCCTCAACAATCTGAGCTGGGCCTGGCTGAAAGCAGAAGCCTGGAACTCAGTTTCAGTATCCCATGAGTGATTTAAGCCATCCTTTGCTGCCTTCCGGGCGGGGGGGGGGGGGATGGGGGTTTGATGGAGGTGGGGTGCACATTAGCAGGAGGTTGAATTGGAAACAAGAGTTGCCAGGAGTTGAACCACCACTGAGCCTCAGAATGTAGGTTTCGCCAAGAGGAGGTTTAAGGTGATATGCCACAGCACTCATGCCTAAGTTTAATTTTGTGACTCAGTTCTATCTTATTCAGTTAAAGTAGGTGCCACTAATAAAGACACAAAGTGGGAGAAAAAACATAGCTAGTGCCTATAAGATGTTGAAAATTACAAGAGGCTTGGCTGAGGTTAAGTCAGTAATCCTTTGATGATGAAACTATGCCTTTCCATGGAATATAAGCACCCAATTCTGGTTTGCATGAAAATTATCAGTTCTTAGACAGCAAAGGAATTCCTATGGTCTAAGTCACATGCAAATCATTTGGGGATCTCTTCAAAATAAAAATCCAGTAGGCTGGTTGTAGGGGCTGGATTTTTGCATTTGTAGAATGTGCTTGTTATATTTGATATTGTCACTCTGAAGACCAATGTTGATGGGAAATGTTAAAAATTTAGTGTATATAGAAAACAGGCATGTTCATAAAGTTTATTTACATTTTAAAGTCACATTAAAATCTTGGAGGCTGAAATGGCCAAGATGAAATATACAAAGTCAATATAAAACACATTTACATGAATTTTGATTTGAACAGAATTTGAGATAGAGAAGGAATAACCTCAATTCATGTAAATCTAAAAACAAAACAGAAAAAGTGTTCCCTTAAAACAGTGTGCTGTTATCTCTGCCCAAACAGAATCAACTTTCCTTGCATTATTTAAAAAAAAAAAGCTGGGAAGCAAATAGCTGACTTCTTTATTCAACAGCTACTCATATACTCTAAAGCCAAAATGATTTCACAGTGTTGAGATGCTAGGATAGGTTGTAAGGTGATATAACGAATGTTATAAATCTGAGTGCTTTGGTTTAGGCTTTGATTTGTTTGGCAATGCTTCTGTAATTATCATTGGAGTGAGGCATTCATTATTGGTTAATCCATTCACAATTGGACTGGATTAACAATCATGCAAACATTTAGCTTTGCTTTGATGGGGAATAGCAACATTGCTTTGATGGGAGGCTCACAACATCAAAAATATTTCTCTTTGCCTTTACTCAGGAAAAAATTCATTGCCAAAAATCTTTAAGTCTGCCATAAGTCATCTTCATTTTTCTATAAATGTTCCTCATAATAACTGCCCTGGAGACTTGTAAATTAATGGAACAATATACCTGTGTGGTGTCTTTCTGAACCCTGTTAACCTAGGAGTGTGTGATCTTCTTAAATCTGCAGGGTGTTACAACTGTAAGGACTAGAGGCTTCTGGGAAGGGTGCCATTTCAAAATACTTGTGAAAATCTAGATTGAGTGGGAGTTTTAGAAAAACAAGTTATACAAAATACTAGGATCACTTCTACCTCTCTCCTCTACTTTTCTTCCTTTAAAAATATGAACCTGAGGTTTCTACAGAGCGAGAACAAAGCCAACTAGGATCCATGTAGGCCCTGCTGCTGTTCTCCTTTCCCTAGTGTGATGTGCCATGATTGCAAAGACAAACTAGATTCCTCTTCCTTGAACTGAAGGCTCTGTCTTCAAAGACTATTTTAAATCACTGTTCTTAAGTAAAAGCTGGAAGACCAGCGCTGTGAAACCGCTCAGTGCTTACAAAATACAATTCGGATAAGTGCTAAAGTCTGAAAGCAAAACTAAGACATAATTGACATCTTACATTTCATTCCTTTAAAAGCAATAAGATCATAAAATTGATAAATGCTCACTGGAGCATTTGTCAAAATAAACTATACAAATGTGTCAATCTGAGGCTTCTATGCATTGCTCACAATCTATTTTCCAATCTTTGAAGTGCGGTAAAACAATACATCTGTGAAAGCTAGTTTACTATTGCAGCAGTGTCTTGACTATGGATTAATTAGATTAATATAGTATAACTTTTCCCAGAAAGTTATATATACACTTATTATACATTATTTTATATACATATAAATAGATACATAGGAAATTCAAAAATCAATCTATGCTTTTCATGATTTAAAAAAAAAATGAACAAATTTGATCACATGTTAAGCTAGCTACTAAAGAAATGTTTGGTGTTCATTTGGCAATAACCTTGGTAACTTCAACTGTATCTCATGTATACCATAAATGGTTAATTTCTGACCTTAGTCTAACCCAATGCCCAATTTTAACTGAAACTTTTTGTCACAGCTAATACAATGCAAGTACTTGAGTCCACTAGAAACATTTGCATGAGAAGTCACAGCTACTGTGAAATACTTTAAAATATTATTACATTAAAAGATTAACATTTTTTCCCCAGAGGTAGATAAGGACACTCTGGTAAAGGCCATGCAAGAATTTAAAAATCTGCTTCTTTGAGTATAAACTCCCATTCCCACAAACATATTTCAAGAGCTTTGTCAAGATGCGTGAAATAAGGATTCCTGGGTTGGCAGACTTGACAATTAGAAGATGGTGCACTTTTTGGAAATCACTTTGTGGAAATTAGTTTTTGATATTAGATGAATTAAGCAGTTTGCTTTACCTGCACATATGGCAGTGTGGGGTTTTGCTTTATTTCCTATAACTAGGGGTGTGGTCCTCCTCAAATACATCAACATGAATTTTTCTGTTCTAATTCTACAAAAATAAGGAGGCAACTGTGAACTTTGGTAGCATTCAGCACCTGGTAGGTCCTTCAACTACAGGTAGAAGTAGACTATGAGCAGATTCTAGTTAAAGGATAAAAATGTACAATGTTGTCTGTTACATAAATTTCTGAACTTGAAGATGAATAGGCAGTCCTGTTTAGCACTCCATCTCAGATGGCATGCCAGTGTGTATGACAGTAAGAAATCCTTGTACTTGATTTGAGGTACGAGAATAGAAGGCAATGATCTACATTAAGCATTTCAAATTCTCAGAGGCCCTACAGTAGTTCAGGAAGACAGTTTAGATGGTTCTTCCCTGAGTTCTTGAGGCAACCCCAAGGGTAAGTTCATGAATTCCAAGAAAATATCTTGCTTATCTATAGTCCAAGAGTAGCTGTTTACTTCCAAGTGGTTTGTTCGGTGTTTTCTTCATAGTACAAATGCTTTAAGATGTTGGCTTTATTGAATTTCTTAGACAAGTTCCTAAGTGAAACTTCTAAAGAGGTGGGCGGGGGGAAGGTCACTGATAAAAAGTAAAGCTTTAATATAAGAGTATGGTTGAATAAATCAGATGTCAGTCTGCAGTACATTAACAGTGATAATACTGTCATAGGCATTAGTTAGTAAAAAGTAAAGTTCTCTGAACTTGGGTTTTTGTGACCACAGGGTTGCAGAGCCCAGTCTTTTTATCAGTTACATTCCACCAGTAATCCAGAGAATCAACTATCAAAAATAGAATGACACTATAGTATTCACCTGTGTAGGATCCCTAAATGTGGTTTTAAAATAAATCTCATAACCACCATAATTGGAACTCAAAATAGTTGAACCCTACACAAATTTATACATAATCAGTTTTTTAACAGTCACAAAACTTGGTTTTTGAAAATTGTTTCCATAGATACACTTTCATAGTGGCTACTAATATACATAGATACATACACTTCAGAATAACTTAAACAAATATGAATATTTGTGTGAAACTCCCATAATGGTCTATTTGGAAAAGTAATTACAATGACTGTGGAGACTCCAAATCTGTTGGTTGCAGATTTAAGGCTTAACTTGTCCTTTAAGCCATTCAAGATTAAGGAAAACATGAGGCTGAATAGAATCTACTGAAATGTTCTACGTATTTCAGTTAAGTGCACAGATCCACATGTATCCTTTGGTTTGGCTAAGATCTCAGAGGTGGGGTAGAAATCAGTGGCGCTGGTGTCAAATTCCTGACGATGTTATTGAGGCTGGCAATCTTCTCTTCTAGTAGGTAATTTTTCTTTTCTGCTGTTTTCTGTCGCTGTTCAGTCATTTCCAGAGCTTTCAACAATTGGGCATTTTCAACATATAAATCCTTCACCATTGCATCTGCTTTGGTGTTCTTGCAGAGCTATAAAAACAACCAGAATCATGTTAACTTCATTTCTGTAATGCTACTTTTAAGATTAGACAGGAGGACAACTGTTAAAGGCACAATGCCCTACCAGTTCCAACCTCTGCTTTTTTACAATATAGTTTTGCCATCCACCTTGACATCAGACATAGTGGAGCAAATCTACCTCTACAGCTGTCTCTCTGGACAACAAGTGTGTAGCTGGTAGGAAGGAAAAGGATGGCTCTTAATGAGCTCTAAAGTGAAAGCCGCTCTCCATCTCAGTTTTTATTTTGTGAACATATGAAAATCTATAGCATTCTACTACAAAGGTCTAATACTATAAGGGTCTGTGAAAATAACCAACTGAGGCATAATCAACTCATAAGCATTTCAATGGGTAATCACGAGGAAAGCAATGCTCTAACGCCCAGACTGAACATGACTTGCAACATTTCATAACCTCTTCTTGAGTCTCAGCTATTGGGTACAACATTGGCTCCCTTCCCCGCTTCTTAATGAAAAACACTTCCAGGACTCTTCATCGCCTCACAGCTGGGAGCTGGAGCCAAGCACTTGGGTACAGGATAAGGGCATGTTAGAGGTTTTAATTCTAAAATCAAAGTACTTTTTATTTCAGTTTTAGATGGACTAAAAATATACAAATAAAAATTCTATGATTGTAACTCGAAGACCCACAAATAAGGTCACATGATGTGCACATTCCAGGTTCTGAGAGGGGCCCTAGAGTTCAGGAAGACAGCGTGTTGTTCCCTGAGTTCTTGATACAGTCCCAAGGACAAGGTCATGAACTTAAAGTTCTTGTGTATATTTGCATTGGGATCTGTGCTGGGGCTTATTACTGAGGTTTTATGTACCTAGAAAAATCAGGTTAGGTGACTTCCACACCAGGCTCCACCAGTTTATCTTAGTGTGTTTTCAGAGAAGTTGTAATGCTTTCCTGGAAGGAAGTCCCTTGCATGGTGCTTTGTGAATGCTCAACTAATCTCTTAACCCTCAAACCACATGTGCTGCCAGCATGTAAGAGGTGCCAGGCTATGTGGTGGTCCTGGAATTCAGAGTGTAGAACATCCTTTAAGGCTCCTGAGGTAGTAAAAAGGTACTCTTGTGAGGTTATCACAGGATATTAACATAGGGAAGCTAAACTTCTACTTATTGCTTCCTATTATTCACCAAAAATCATTTTTACTAAATAACATTTCCTGTGCTAGAAAGAAACAGACAAAATCCCCCCAAATCTCACCAGAAATGCCACAGGGCCAGGTGAGGCACCGGTGGCAAATGTACAAGTGTAGCTTGTGGACACACCTACAGCTGCACAGAGCTTTGGGAAACTGAGGGTACATACAGGGTTCGTATTTTGGCATGGTGTGAAGGAGAGGAAATCCTAACTTTTGGACACAGAGTTGGCCTGTATTAGGGAAGAGCAATAGACAAGTGAAAGCAATGGAGTGAGACGGAAACTTGAGGTAGAGTGGACAGAGCTGACCAGAGGTACTTACTTGTTCTTTGAGCTGATTCACTTTCTCCTGAAGAAGCCTCTTCACCAGCTTCAGTTTCTGCTCAACTTCTAGCATTCGTTCCTCCATGACTGTTACCAGTTGCTCCTGGTTTCCCTGAAGGAAAGAAAACAAGGTCTATTACCATTTGAAAAGCCATTTCACAGATTTTTCTCTTTGCCCCCCCCCACAAGATGCCTAGAGAAAGGACAGCCAATGTTTGTCTTGGTAACAGAGGATGGATTTTTGATGAGCGCTCTGAGCATTGCATGGATTGTTACAAAAATAGCCCTATCAGAAAAATAGTCATGATAAAAATATAAAAATCTTACCTGTGTAATTCATCTCCTGATAGCAAAATTCTTAAAAACTCATACTTTAATGCCTTTATGTACCCATTCTAGTAAGAATGGGTATCCACAGTCAAAAGATAGAGTAATGCTGAGACTCAAAAGAGGGTGAAAACTAACAAACCAAACACTGAACTGATTCACGGTCACCTAATGTTGGCAGTTAACTTGCAACACGCATTTCTCTTATTCCTTTGAAATGACTGGTTGGTTGCTCTGAAGGTGCTAGTGTGTATTTCTCATAATTGGCCTCTACTGGCTACTTAATCTAGTCATCTGTTCCCACACTGGACTTCTCAGTGTGAAGAAAACACCATTTCAGAGGTTGGCTTTCTCAACAGAACAGACTGAAAACTAAGACTCTTCTCAGATCACTCCCAGATAAAACAGCATGACAAGATCTGTGGCCTTGACACATCTTCTCACTCAGTAGGGAAGGATTAAGGAGTACTTGGCCATGGGCGTGAAAAACAGAGATCTAGAGAGAAACTGCAGTGCAACTAATTGTGTCCCCCATCTACCGCCCATAGCCCAGAGTATCACACATAAGGAATCCAGACATGGAAAGGTGCTTCAGATACGTAAGAAAAGTTCTGGTATTTAATGATTGTTGGCACTTAAATATTCTTAAACAGGTATACTCTATGACCAAATGAGTCTATAGCCAACATTTTTGGATATAACATTTTACTTTTTATGATTAGTGAAGAAAAATGATCAAAGCCTCATGTATGAAGTAACTTTCAGTAAATGGAGTCTGGGACAACCCAGCTTTTTTGGGGCCTTTAAAAAGATAAAATAGCTTTTTGATGTTGAAACACAACTGAGGTGTGACTTCCATTTGCCTAGAAAACGTAAAGCCAAAACAAAAACAAGAATGGATCATTTAAATAACACTGAATATGGCAAAACAGAAAAAACCAGAGGCAGTCATATTTAAAATTGATTTTATTATTTCATCAAAATCTTCCTTTTTCCTGTCAAGTACTACATATTGTATACAAAACAGTATAAATAATCCCAATTTTCTTAATTCCATATATAAAAGTAGTACCTTCTGGTAAAAAGTTAAAACATATGGAATGAGAAAATAAATACATCCTTTGAAGAATCTTAAATTGACATTCTTTAAGCGGTATAAATTGTAACAAGTTGGAGTTGGTAAATTGGTTCTCAAAACCAGTCATTTCTACATAAATAAGCGACATAATACTGTAAAGGCTTCATAGTACAAGGAGTAAAGTGATTGGGAAGAGCACTTAATTCCAACATTTCTTAGGTTATGTCTCTGTTGGGGTGCAGGGTGTGTGTGTGCGCATGTGTGCAAGCAGTGTCTGCCAGGGCAAGAAATATCATCAAGAGCGGCCCAGTTTTCACAGGTGCCCAATCCTTCTGTAGGAATCTGCATGCACTGCGCGCTGCTCCGGTAGCAAGGCCTAGAGAAAGAAGGCAAGTGGTATACTTCACCCTGAGGTCATGATTGGGACCACTATGTACACACATTTATAGTGCAAACAAGGGTTAAAGGTGCAAACACACAACTCAGATGCAAGCAAAACAATGCAAAAGCAGAGGAAACTCACATCACTGCACACACAGACAACGTGCAGCATCTAAGAATGTTCCGTATTTCTAAAATGGACAGCAGCTCAAATAGGTGAGCCTGCAGTGGCATACCGGAGGGGTGGGGACAATGACCAACAAGCCCTGACACCTGAATGGAGCACTTGGTGTAAAATAAATCTGTTCATTTAGTCCTGAAATCATTGGAGTTAAGAACATCTGTAAACATCAGTGAGTGGGGTGGCAAGAGCATGCTTTGAAAATGACATATATAGGAAGGTAACAGGTAGCATCTGAGCCCAGTTGTCTGGTTGGAAAGGTACATTACAGTCAGATGTCACCTCCTCCTAATAGTCCACTACCCTTACATTTTCCAATCAGAACTTTTAAGTTAGTAGTGGGTAGTGAGTTAAAGCAATATATATAAAGCTTCAGAAAACATGGACTTGAACAAAGATTTTAAGACTAGGTGACAGAAGTCCAGGACATCATAGCAAAGCAGATATTCCACAAGGCGAAGAAAACTGTGTTCCAATGCATGAGGCCAATGCTAATGAGACTGTGCAGAGATGTGGGGAAGCGATCAGGAGATCTGGGAAATTCCATCATGGGAAAGATCCATCATGAACAGGGGCAAGAGAATAGAAAACAAGTGTATCCCAACCAGACAGGTAATGTTGAATTGTACCAAGAAATACTTTTCTTTCTTCATTCCTAATTCTGAATGAGTTAAATGTGTGAAAGGACAATTAGGAATAAAGTAATGACAAGAAATACCAGCTATAGTTCAAGGTTTTCAAATTGTTATCTGATAGTAATGCTAATTGGAACAGAACAGGAAGAAGATTGTCAGTTTTTCAAACTAGGTCATTTAAAGAAATTAACTGACATGAAGTATGCCACAACTACAATACTAATTTCAGTCGTGACTACACTTCTGCCATTAGCTACAAAGCACATGGAGCTTGGCAGGCCGCTCCCTGGAGCTAGGGCGCACTTGGGCTGCTTTGTGAGTGTTGCATAACCTAAAATTACACCAGAATTGTGGAACATTTTTGGCTGTAGATAAGAGTGAGGTCAATTATGCCATATTCTCCAGTGATCTGGTATTTTGTCATCTATTATAGATGTGCAGAGGATGTCTCTGAGCCCATTGTCCCTCACCTCAGAAACAAGAGCTCAACACCAGCGCTATAGTCCAAGCACCTGCAAAGGCTTCACTCTGAGGTTAGGTTTGCACGCCTTACTTTGCCCCACCTTGGAACTGGTGACACTTTCTAACGGGCAAGAAAACCAATGAGATGGGTGACTAACATCTATCATTGCAGGCTGGGCACGCATACCTGTGGTGTGCTGGTATCAGAAGTCCGGTTGTCGAGCTCCTCGTGCAGGCGCAGGTTTGTCCTTTCTGCCTGCAGCAGCTGATGTTGAAGCTGCAGCAACTGCTCCCGGGGCACCATCGGACAGGCTTGCTGCTGGAGCAGCTGCAGATCCCAAGCATGAGGGGCGGGGTTAGGCATCACAGTGGACCTCAGGTGCTGCATCTGGGGGACAAAGGCAAGCTAGCATCAGTGGCAGTTCCCTTAGGGATGGAGCTACCCCACAGATGGCAAACAGAGTCCTCAAATCTGGTAGGAAACAGGACAGCCTGTGAGCCTGAGAAGGATGTACTGGGAAGAGATGTTCTGTTTGGGAAGCACCACAATGAACAAGTAAGCACATTTTCTCCCCAACGTTTTCACTTTAAAATCTAACACTTGCCCCTCTTTAGGGAGTCTCATGGCATGAGGTATATAATATAATTAGGTCTGAGTTCTGTCGTTTTTTTTGTAATATTTAAATTCCACCCCCAATTTTGAGTAAACTGGGAGATGGGACAAAAGATGTACTTGGGTAAATTGCCCTTCTAAATGGTTCTTAAAGACAAATGTTTCATGATTGTTTTCGAACTTATAGTTTTTTTTTTAAATGGATTTCATCTTGCATTAAAGATCTTGACCCCTTCTCACTATTTAGCATGTGGTTATATCTTCAAATATGCAGCATAGGAAGCTGGGCAATTCCTGGATATGAAGTAATAGCTTACCCTCTGAGAACTAGAGTAGGTAGCATAGAAGTATTCATTGGGGACACTGAGAAAGCAGTGTATATCCACATGCCAGTCAGTTGGGGAGAGCAATAGGAGGATCACCAGGGCATTCTAGCAAGGAAGCATGCTACTATCCATCTGCCAGTGTACCTGGCAGACAGTGGGCTCAAAAGGCAGGCATGCAACAAACATGACCAAGTACTGACTCAACAAGACACCCGTAGGCATGTGAGAAAGGGGAAAAGAACTTCTAAGGCACAATGTTAATGAAACATGACCATGAAACTTCAGAGCCACTATCCATTTCTGTACATCTCAACATCTGAGTTGGGTCATGACCCACTTTGAAATACTTTTAAGTTGTAGCTGGATAAAGGCCACTCATTTTCTTAATTGCAGAATATGAAGAATTATGATCTCTGCATTTTATGCCAGTAGTATGATACATCCTGAGGAAAATCTTAAAGCAAATGTAAATAGTCCACAATCACAGCACAATAAGAATGAATACTGGCTCTTAAAGAACTTGTGAACAACAGGATCACATGAAACAGTAGGATGGAATGTCCCCATGCTGTGGAAGTCCATTGAAGAGAATGTTCTACCTTCACACACTATCTCAGGCAGAGAACTGCACCCTTCTCTGCTACTTCCAACCACTGCATTCTAGGTACAGGTTAGCCAGACAAAAACAAAGAAAATTACAGGTGTTATAAAAAGAGGAGGCAAAGTATGAGCTATAAAAAGAGAAAGTACTAGTATATTGAGTATATTATTAGCATGCATAAAAGTCTATGAACACTGTCATTCTTCTGTATTTATCTTTACCTTCTGTAATCTGGGTAGACTCTGAGTGTGCCTAGTACATTTGCTCAGGAGACTTCAGGAGCTCCATAGAATCGATCTCTTGTTAAATCCTTTGCCATTTGGAGATGCCCAATAAGGTTTAAAATACTCTTGTTGAGGTCTCTCAACATTGGCTAGCACAGAGATACATAGACCTAGCTGTTGCTACAGACTTACCTTACAGACCCCTACCTCCCTTCTCTGAGGGAAAGGGACCAACAGACAGCAAATTCCTACCTTCAGGTTCAGGCAGGGAATTGGAGATTAAACCCAGGTTACCCTCAGGCGGCACCTCAGCCTCTAGGTTAAACGCCCATTCCTTGTATCCCTGTTTTTCAATGTTCAAGAATTGTTGCTGCCTCCATAGTTGAAAAGGCGCTCCTGTGGTAGTCACATTCCAGTCTTCCTTCCCTGTCCTGGTCTTATGACTTGGGCAGGATCTATGACTTCTGAGTTAGGTGATGGAGACGAGGCGAGATTCTCTCCATATGCATGCGGTGAGACTCGCCAAGAAAGCTTTGCTCAGCTATCCCAATCCCAGGGATTGAGGAAAGGACATTTTCCTCCCTGCCCACCATCTCAAACCCCAACTAGGTGAATATTTTGCCCAGACTGAGAGAACTGCACCTATTCCTCAGGTGAGCTGGGGCAAAAAGGTGGTGGGAAAGAATCACCACGTATGTCCAAAATCTGCCTATGGTATGATATGATATGAAGAAAAATCCAGTGGTTAGTGCTTGTGGGGAAACGGCGAAGACTTACTGATAACAACCTTCCTTTGGAATGATAAAAAGGTTTTAGTAGCCATGGAAATGGCTGGTAGCACAGAGAATGTAACACCATTGAACTGCATATGTAGAAGTAGGTGAAATGACAAGTCTTAAGTCATGTATATACTGACTGGTTTAACAACATAAAGCTATATATAGAAAACAATTGATATAGCAATTCACCCACATGAACAATATAATACTTGAATGACCTTGAGGAAACTTAAAATGTCAGTCTTTTATAAATCTGCTGAGGTGACAGTTCAGTTTTTTCCCCTCAGGTGAGTTTCACTAGAATAGTATAGGAGATGCTCTTTTCAGTGTCCAAATGGAAAATTCATGTATTTTTTCCAAGTTTGGCTCCAGTGGCAAGAACACTGAATTTTCCTCATTTATCAGCAAATATTTACCACTCCTCCATTGGCAAAGATGAGGGGGATACTGTTCACCAAGGCCAATCCTGCCAAGTGGGGCTGGACAAGGAGGCAGCTTCCACGCACTGAGACAGCAGTGCCTCCAGCAGTACATTGCCGTTAGTCTGCAGTTTACTACTGCACAGAAGGGGCACAGCCTCATGTGTTATTCCTTAGAGGAGACAATCACTTCAGCAGAAAAGAATGTCTACTTATAAGCACAGTTCACGAATCAAGGTTTTGAATACATCCATTGTATGCTGTCAGGAAAAAAAAAAATGGTTTGAATCTCACTATTTATGGCTTCACCAATTCTCCACTACTGGGTAAAATCAGAAAACCTTAAACTGACAAACCTTAGTGGTTTTTAATGTTAATGCATTATGTTCATCCACATTTCACAAATCTAAAGCCAATGTTAATTTTTCAGTTACCTCTGCAAGCATTCAGTTTCATATGAGACAATGTTTATGTATCTCTGCCTTGAGAGGATTCTAGTTTTAAAATCACACTGATGCATTGTTTTTGAGTCCAAACACACTTTCTATGCATCCTTCCCTAGATAAGTTTCATAATTCACAAAGTGTTAGACAGATCAACATTTTCCTTTACCCAATGCAAAACTTGGCAGTTAAATCTCTACTTTATGAGAACTTGTCTGCGAATTGTTCTGTACCCTGTGATTGTACTGAACATTCGAGTAGAGCAGAACCTGATCAATGTCTGGTCTGATAAGTTTTACAATCATTCTCTTACTTATCCAATGTACATCTGTCAGGTGAGTGGTAAGTTCCAATTGTATTAATGAACTATGGCAGCACTTGAAAATGGGACTTCCAAACGCAAATGCTTTCAAATTTCTTCCATAGATTTTCTAGCTGAAGAGGTTATCAGAGACCAATCACATCCATAAAACACTATGATATAAGAGGTGTCAAACTGTTACAAACACAGCAATGGTCAGAGAGCTTTGGGCCAGCTGGCCAGTATTTGAGTCCCTGCCACCTGATTATGGTGAGGGCCAAGTCTGTGCCTGTTAGGTCAGTATTACCCCTTTTTGGCCAAAGCAGTATGGATTCCCATGACTGTGCAGTTAAGCACAAATGCCTATTAAACCTTGTCCAAAGAATTCAGCTTGGCAGTGGACTTGGAGTTTCACAACAGGAACTCAATATGGTGTTTAGTCTCCCAATAAATGGCTTATTCATGGATTAAAATATTCTTCATAGCTTCAGGCTATTTGCTTTTTTTTTTTAAGTACCTCCACGAGCTGCTCATCCAGTTTCACTTGTTTCTTTTTCAGACCTTCATTTTCCAAGTGAGTCGCTTCTAATTCTTGTTCAAGGGAATTCACCTGGCTGACCTGTGAAAAACAAAACATTTTGTTCTAAACACTCAAGTTGCACTACTTGATGTTGACCTGTTGGAGTTCGTTGGAAATCTCAAGCTGTGGAAGAAATCCAGAGTAATTAAGCAAGGGGAAACAACAAACTATGCAATTCAGTGCATGGCTTACATCTAAGTAATCAAGTTTTTTTTTAAATTATTTTCCTTTTTAATATTGTTTACACAGTTGAGAGAAGTGCACACCCATGTGGGCCTCTGATTAGGGTGGGGAGGTTCAGCTATGGAGGAAGGTGGGTGAGGCAAACATTTTAGTTTTTTGTTTTTTCTTTTATGTCTGCAGGGGAGGAGGGATAGGGACTCCTGAGTAGTTGAGTCTTAATTGCCATTCCTGATGTAAGACAGATTTTTTTTTAAGGCAGTTGGCATTCAAACTCTGATGCCACACATGACCCAAAACATTTTATCTATAACACACACCCACATCTACAATCAAGGAGCCTTCCAAGAGTCCATGAAAAGTAAGTTTTTGAAATAATGCATAAATTAAAATTTGTTGCACCCAAGTACTTTTCAATTACATTTTCCATGAACTTTTACTTTAATGGAATAGCATATCTCCTTGCCATGAACCCTGTACTTGATCATTTCCTAGTGCTTTTCACAAAGTTGATTTTAGGATTTGCTGCGATGAATCTTTGGTTGGGAAAAATGCTATCTAAAAACACCTAAAACCTCATTGACGTAGCTCCTTTCCCTTTTTCTTAGGATCAGACTTGAAGATCTTAAACAGAATTTCAAGTTGGATACTCGCAAGAATAACTGAGCTACAGCACCCTGCATTCCAGAATTTTCTGAGATAGAAAACAGTCCAATTCTGGAACACTGATTTTTGCCTCTATCAAAAACAGCTGAGAATCGCTGAATGGAAGTGCCACCTGTCTGGGGCTGCTGTTATTTTAAAATTACCACCAGTCTTTTCCTGTGGTGATCAGTTGAGGAGATTTCAAAATTGGGAAAGTTTTCTGTATCTGAAAATCATCAAAAAAACTAACACCCACAATGCCCAGAATAACACTGGTCTCAAAATCTAAGTTTATGTGACAAAGAACCATATATTACACCAGAGTAGTACTGCTTGAGGTCTGGCCAGGTGGCTCGCAGGTCTTCATACACCCTTGCACGATCTCCTCCCATGGCAGGGGTGAAGCTGAGTGAGCAGAACAGAGCAGAAGTGATGGTCCATCACTTCCAAGGTAGGTCATACGACACTACAGGCAGTTGGCACAGAGGGCTGAACCACTGCTTGTGATATCCACATTCAGAGTGAAGTGCTGCCTGGCCTTATAACGCATCCATTTCTCAACGTCCTGATTACACACAAATTGAAGGCAGCAGCTCAGAGCTCAAGTCTTGGGCCCTTGCTTCCCAATATGGCAGACCCAAATAGAGCTCCTGGCTCTGATGTGGTGCAGCTCTGTTGTTGACATTTGAAGAATGAACCAATGGAAGCTCTCTGTCACTCTGAATTTGAAGAAGATGAAAATAGATATTTTTTTAAAATTTATTTTTAGTTTAAAGGCAGATTTTACAGAGAACAGGAAAGACAGATCTTCCATTTGCTGGTTCACTCCCCAATGGCCAGAGTTAAGCCAGGCTGAATGAAGCTAGGAATCCAGAACTTCTCCCAGGTCCCCTATGTGGGTCCAGGGCGCCCAAGGACTTGAACCATGCTTTGCCACTTTCCTAGGCAAATTGGCAGGGAGCTAGAAAAGTGGAACAGCTGGAACACAAGTGGTGCCCATGTGGGATGTTAATGCCACAGGACCAGCCCAGAACAGACATTTTTAAAGAGTGTAGTACCCATGTTGGTCTTTGGGTTTCAGTATGTGATCACTCCCTCTGGAGTAAGCAGGTTCCCTATCCTGACAGAAGGCTTAAGTGGTGAGGAGCTGAGATCTCAGGCAGCATTCAGGAAGAAACGGGTCTCTGGGAAGCAGAGCTGTGGCCAGCTGGATGCTTTTAGGTGAGAGCAGGCACGTGCGGGCTACTCTGGTGGGTATAGACCCTTGTGGCCATCGTTTGTTGCACAGCAACACTTAACACTGACTGCATTCACATGGGTCTACTGTTCAAGCTGTTCATGAAGGTACCTCAAAGGTTTGTGGGGAAAGAATTCCAAAATGTTTTTTGAATGAAAATAAACTTTTCACTCCATTTTCCATGAACTTTTGAGAAGCACCCTAATTTTTTTGCTAACTTATAAAAGCAATGTGATACAAAGATGAACTGTAGAAAAGACTCAATGATGTTGTTTTCAAACATTAATTTAAAAGAGCTATGATACTGTTCTATTACAGAAAAAGATGCACAAGAAACCATTGTGACCATTTCCTTGGTCACACAGCTGGAAGACAGTGGCCCTTAGAGACAGCACAGGCACACAAATGATACATGCTCAGAAACTTGCCTTCCAGGGAGCAGGGGGGCGTCCAGTCTGGAACTGTTCACTCTCCTGCTTCAAGCTCAGCTTGTCCTGCTCCGTGAGTCTTCCAGGTCCCGAGAGGTTCAGGTGTTTCTGCTGCTTGGGGACAAGGAACTTGGATTCACCTTGCTGGACCTAATGAGAACAAATGTGAGAAGGAAGCAGTGTTTGTGAAGCAGCCAGCCAACCATTAAGAATCAACAGCAGGTACAACAAAAGCATCAACAACACAGAATCTGTGATTGGGAGGAAGACTTTGTCAGTCCTGCCTGCCAATTCTGCAAGTCCACATTTGTTAATTTACCAACATCCTTCCTAGATAAATCCAGCTGGGTTTACAAACCCAAAGCTGTCTCTTACGGTAAGGGCAGAGGGGACTAGAAGACCTGCTCTAGGGGTAATGAGGAAGTGTGTAGGGGATGGACACAACAGGCCCAGGTACTTTGACGTCCACATGATTCTTAAAAGAGTCACCCCCATCTCTTGTACTCTGCCTTGGCCTGCTTGTATAGAGCAGTGTTGTTACCAGCTGCTCTATACAGCGAGGACAGGGACCAGGCCAGTGTTTACCATTGCAGCTCCTGTGACAGCAGAGGGTTTCTGGCTTGAGGGAAGCACTTTAAGTGACAAGTTCAAGAATATTCCTAAGATCTATTGGAACACAACGCTGCTCCTTTTCGTAAAACAGCAGTTAGGCCACCACTTTACTTCTGGCATAGGCATCCAATATCAGAGTGCTGGTTTGAGTCCCAGCTACCTTGCTTCTGATCTAGCTTCCTGCTACTGTGCCTGGGAAGGCAGCAGCAGACAACGTAAGTACTTGGGCCCCTGCCACTCATATTGGAGAACAGAATGGAATTCCTGGCTCCTAACTGGTCCAGAGCTGGTTGTTATGGGCACTGGGGGAGCAAACCAGAAGGCAGTAAATCTCTATCAATCTGCCTTTTTCAATATTTATATCTGATTTATTTATTTCAAACAGTTCAGTAAAAAAACTTAAGTGTGTGGGGGGCATCTTTTTCTCTTACAAGCACAAATTACAAGTATAGCATTATCCTTTTTCTACTACTTGTCTAGGCAGCTAGCCTATTTGAGGAATATATGGTTCACATAATTTCCATAATCCTATATTTTGGATATGAGGATTAAAATCAGATATATTTTAATATGTACTGCTTATACAAAAGGAAAAATATTTTATAAACACACCAGGATAAAATTACATGCAAGTAAATGATCGGTTATGCATCCTGAAAGTAAGTCTGCCACATACCTCCCAACAGTATTTCAACCCCCAAACTTCCATTTTCATCTCAAACAGGCGCCACATGGGCCACTTTTTAGGGTACCTTTCCCCGGGGGTGTGTGATTTCCACTCTGGCTTTCTGCACCTTGGTCTCTAGCCGCTCGTTCTCTTGCCAAAGCAGCTGCGGTTCCTGGTTCATCAGATGATCCAACTCATCCCAAGACAATCTCCACTGCTGGCTCTGGGATCCTGAGGGACAGGTGGCTGTGTCTGCGGCCCAGTGCTTAAGGCAGAAATCCAGAATTAATCCTTCAAAACAGGTGGGTGGGTAACTTCTGGGTTACCTAATGACAACTATTCCTAATAAGTACCTTTCAGCTGTCAATTCTCCTCTAATGGGAGGATGGATGTATATGTGTGTGAAGATATACAGAATATTTTGGGAGTTTGAGTTTTAGAATGTTTGGAATTTTTTTTTTTTTTTTGGCTTAAAATGGCCTTTGGCAGAAGAGTCCTGCCAAATCCAATAGCAAGTGGGCAGAGGGGAAGTGCCAAGCGTCATGCAGGCTTCAAGTACACAAATGTGGGGGGGCTTGAAAAGTGTTTTGTTCTTACAAGTTATCTCTGAATCCAGGTAATAGTCTTTGGGTTAGCACAGGAAACAAAGGATTCTCAAGGCACTGCCAGCTAAGCAGGCTTTCACAGACACAGTCATTTCCTTTTTTTAGACTCTAAAGCACATATTGTCCATGTAATTGAGGCCTAAATTCAGGAATATGCTTTCAGCAACCCAAGTGATTTTTTTGGTCCTAAAAATAATCTAAAAAATAAAAGTAGCAATGACAGGATTAGTCTCCTGGTTTCTCATAAAAAAAGAAAAAAAGCAGGCATTCAGGTATCATATCCTTTGGAAAAAATCAGCTAGGAGATAACTTTTCAAATGAAAACAATTTTTTTTAAAGGTAGCACCAAGAATTAAATCTGAACATCTACCCTGTAACTGATACCCATACGGTTTTTTCTGTTTTGCTGTTCTTAATTTATTTGCATACAAATTAATGAGCACTGTGAAATATTAAGATGAGATACTCCACAAAGCAGTCCAACAAGTATACCAATTAACACTTGACCTAGCTCTGCCAGACTTTTGGTGTCAAAGCAACAGCCTATTCTGTTGCAGTACATTCTCTCCTGAAATTCAGTACTGTTGTTTTAGGCAATAGCTTTCCTTTCCAGCAAAAGTTCTACTTTTGTGCAGTTCTCTCTGTGTGTGATCCTACATGATTTTCCTGCAATGTTTTTCTCGTGTGTCTTTTAACTAACACAATGTTTTAATTTTATGGTCATTCAACAATTCAGACATGATCTTCTAACTTGCTCAATATATATTAAAAAAAAAATCCAGAAAAGTGACCACCTTGTCTCCAGCATCCTGCAGGTGCTTCCGCAAAGCCATCACTTCCTGCTTTAACTCCTCCTTTTCCTGCTGTGTCGCTCGGAGGTCAGATTTTATCCGGGACAGGTGCAGGTTGACGCTGTGCAGGGTCTCTTCTAAATTCTGAACCTGTGACATGAGAACAGGGTTTACATGGCTGCACCCAACCTCAGGGGTTCACTGCTTGAATGCATAAGGACACAAGAACCTCATGGGCTCCCTGCTTCTGCCTACACTTGGCCTTATTTCCAAGAGCTCAGTGGAAGATCAATATGTTGCAAATATCTACAGAAATGTTAAGATACATTTAGGTAAAGATGAAGTGTACCTGGTCATAACTTGATAGGATCACCTGATAGCTTACCAACTTATGTGTGACACCCTGTGTGTGCACTGACATCACAAAAGATGATCTCACTGAATTTTACATTGTATTACAGCCTGTGGTGCTGGTTTGTAGAGGACCTGGTAGTTGAAAATAACATCACCGTTATGTGCTGCACCTATGACAATGGTCCCACGGGTTAACTTAAGGGAGTGATGTCACAGCTGTCTTGGTTGGTGTGTGTACACTATGAGGTCTGTACAATGATGAAATTGCATAGTGATGCATTTCCCACACACTTTTCCCAGCGTGAGTGATCTGTGATGGCATATGCTAATAGAATCCTACTCATCTCTCATGGATATTTCAATTAAAAACACTTAAATTTGTAGCGGGAATGTTGATAGAGAACTTTATAATAGTTTGAACCTGCTTCAGAAATCATAGCCATTTTTCACAGCCCTCTCAAGCTTCCAGAGGAAGTAATTGCAATTAAGGAACTTTGAAATAGTGTTGAAATTATAATACTGTAAATGTGTCAATTAGGTTACATTGGAATCATTATGAACCTCCTAGGCCTCTGTCACCTAGCACATTTTTGGTGAGACTGTTAGAAAAAGAAGGCAAATTCTAAGCATGATGACGCAACGAGAACCATGCTCTTACCTTTTCCTGGGAAGCCACAAGCTGTGACTTCAGGCTCTCACTCTGTTGTGCCCAAGTCTTCTGTTCCTGTTTCATTATAGCAATCCTCTGCTCCAGAAGAGTGGATTTTGCCAACTATTTCAGCAAGACAAAAGAGGGAGGAGGCTTTGTTGGCAAAGAGACACAGCTCAGTGTGTGAGGCCCCTCGAGCGCTGTATACAAGGGACCAGAGCAAGAGAAAAGAAAAAAAGCATTCCTGGCTCCCTCTAATTGCAGCAGGGGTTTATCACCTTTTTGTGATTTTTAACTTATTTTCTCACTGCTGGTATTTGGAGGCTGGGAGATGGTGAGCTGGCAGACAATTAGAGATCTTGAGTTTTATGGTAAAATGCCCAGGAAGGCAGGAGGCTGTGTGTGGGGAGGGGGCGAAGAGGGAGGGGCGAAGGCAAGCAGTATTTTGGGATCTTCTTAGGAAAATACAAAGGGGAAAAAAAACACCCTATAAAATCCCAGATTAAAGAAATATGAGAACAACAACATGAATGTTTAATATAACTACTAAACAATGCATTTAGCCTCTTATAATCACAGGTCAAGACTGAGGGCCCCACAAGCTGGCCAAATGGTGCTGCAGGGAATTCTGGGATAATCAGGCTACCACGGGTTGACCTTGGGCTCCCAATCCACAAGGGATGCCCCCGATGTGCACACTATCCAAGGAAGATCTCGAGACTGACTACCTTATCCACACAGCTGCTTAATTCTTCGCTCAGAGCTGCTTTCTCTTTCAGCAGTTGTTCGTTGTAGCTCAGAACACTAGAGATCTTCTGCTCAAAGTCACAGACATCACGACCTCCATGCAGCTGTAAGAAACACACAGCTGTGCTGTCACTCCTGGCTGTGTACACAGGATTTCCTTATAAATAGCATTTTGTAGCTGCTGGTATCTTCCTGACTGTAGACATTTCAGAGGAAATACCAGCCATAATTAGCTATAGCTAAACATTTCTTGCCAGCTTCTCTTCACTGCTCAGTTGCCTACTGTGCTGTCTGCTCTGGCTGATTCACCTGGGGTGATACTGTGTTATAATGACCCAAGATTTCCATTCCCTGCAGGGCGAAACACAGGCTGCCACACTGTTGCTGATTTCACCCAAACACATTTCAGAACACATGTCCTGTGTGACATTTTCTTCTTGCTTTCTCACTTAACCAGAAAAAAATAGTTTTTGAAAATCCTTAAGACTATAAGGGGTATCCCACACACAGGCAAGTTTTAAGATACAACAATCTATCAGTCCGCCCCAGGTGCCCTTCCTTCAGCAAGATGCCGAAATTGACTTGGAGGCACTGCATTGCTGCCGTGGACACAGCTGCCAGCCCATCTCCATTTGCTGAGATAAAGACTCTTAAGTCCCTTGTCACCACCAGCATTGCTACTATGAACAGCTGTGATGGGGTTGTCCTGTGGTAGGATATTTCACAGTATTTCCCATTTGACCCACTGGATGTCAATAACATCCCCCAAGTTGTGAAAACCTAAAAATATACCAGAATATCTCAATATGTCCACCCCCAGTGCCACTTTGCTGCTTCTGGTCCTTAACCCTTCCCACATTTTTAATGCTGAATTATGGTTTCATGGCTATCTTTCTATTGGTTACCTGAAGCCCTTTGGTGTTAGGCTTTGGAAATGATTGGCAAAATTGACTTAGAGGATTTCCATTGGCAACCAACTTTAGCATACCTTACAACTCTGATGACATTGGGGAGACAGGGCAATGCAATAGATTAACAATGGGCCTTCTCTTTGACCCACTGACTTGCTTCTTGCTCAGCCCCCAAATACCCACTACAGCTTGGCAGCACTGTGGGTGTCTCCAGACAGACATGTGGCTTCTGTTGATGTGATTTACTGTTCTGTTCAGTGCACATAAATGCATGAACATACTTGGGCAACTATCAATCCTGGTAGCACAGGCAGGCAGCAGTGGACAGATGGCGCAATCCTTCACTAGCACCCAGGAAACGAGTCCCTCCCCCAAGGCCAATGAGCTCGCTGGTTTTCCATCTCACTCCTTATACCAATGCCACTGTAAAAAAAGTGCCCCCTCACAGGGTGCTGAATGCTGCTCCCCTTCTGCTCCTTTCCTTCTGCTTTCAACTGTAGCAGTCACCAAGCACAGGTTTTCCACACTACAGATTTGGGATTGATTATCATCACCTTAAAGCCTGAACAACAGACAGACTTTCACAGGTAAAAGAAAAAAAAAACATAGATGTCAAGTTCATCAGGAGGTATTTGGTAATAAGAGGCTGGGGATATTAAGATGCCATGGTCAGGCCTCTAATGGTTTTCACTTTGGGCAAGTTTAAAGTCAGAAAAAAAAAAGCTTCCCCAGGCATGGTAGAACAGATAAACTCTGCATAGCAATATTTGACCTGCAAAGGTTCTCCTAAGACACCTGTTAGGGATTGGCACAATACAGGGCATTAGGAAAGATGAAACAAAAGAAACTATTACCTCCTTCCATTCCTTTCAGGAAGGCAGGACTCACATGAGTTAATTACAGATGGACACAGTCATGACACTAGGTGGTTTAGGCCTGGTACAGTCAGTGTTCCAGTGTTCAGGGGAAGGGAGACCTCAATGTTTATAGGCTACACAGACTGAAGAAAGAATCTCTAATCCAAGGCTGTCTTGATGTTAATCTACATGGGTAATATGGAGCAGTTTTAAGCTCTCCCCATAATTGGGGACTGTTGTAATTCAAAATTCCTATGTATACTGGGAACTGAAAATAAAATGACAATGTTTAGCACTTAATTATTAAGGTGTGTCCTCCAATACATAAAATTAGGCTTTTGTTGGAAACAGGATTCAGAAAGCTAGAGTCATGAGAGAGGCTGTAGCCTTGACAGTGCTCTGGAATTTTTTATTTTATATTTTGCCCAAGATAAAGCCAAGACTTGATTACAAGGAAAAGGCAGGCCACCTTCAAGTATGTTAAATTATAGTGAACAGGGGTGTGTGGGAAGGAAGGGGGTTACCTCCCTGAGACACAGGCAGGTTGCTGTACCATCTGGCTGGGAGAAAGGAGAATAGCAAGTTTCCTCAATTAAAAAGGTTAGGATTCATCTCTACAAATAGTTTTAGATTTTTAAACACACAGAGATGGCTTAACTAGCACAGCTATACACAGGAGCTGGAAACCTTTACAAAATAGACTTGAATAAGCTAGGGGACAGGATTGAAAGCCTGGATCAACTGGGTTCTGGAAATCAGGCATCATTAGTTACACATCATTCTAGAACCTCCATTCCCCGCCCCACAGGGCCTTACTCGTTCCATTTTTTCCAGTTCATCTTTGAGAAGAAGATTTTCCTGTTCCACAATATGGGTCTTCATTTTAACTTCAGACAGCTCTGCTTCCAGAGAAGACACCAATGTGGAAGACTAAGAGAACAAACCAAATAATAGATTTTCACTCAGGTTGGGGAAATGTACCAGGCTTATATTCAGGAGATAACACAAATTCAAAGATACGTTTTCTGATCATTTCTCCTCATCCACAGTGGAACAAATCAAAGGCTTTCCACTTAGCATGAATATGATTTCTCAGTTTTTGCATGTTTTTCTAATACAAAGTGATTGTCTTTCGCTTGGAGTAGAAAGTTAAAGCAAGCCACATTTCTCAAAATTCTGCCTGTTTATGTTAGTGTACTTTTAAAATTTTCATTGGAAAGGCATATATACAGAGAAGGAGATGCAGAGAGAAAGATCTTCCATCTGCTGGTTCACTCCCCAAGTGGCCACAACAACCAGAGCTGAGCTGATCCAGAGCCAGGAGCTTCTTCCAGGTCTCCCACATGGGTACAGGGTCCCAAGAATTTGGTCATCCTCTACTGCTTTCCCAGGCCAAAACAAGGAGCTGGATGGGAAATGGAGCAGCTGGGACATGAACTGGTACCCATATGGGATCCTGGCAGATGCAAGGTAAGGATTTAGCACTAGGCCATTGTGCCAAGCCCAATCAATCGATTTTTAGAAACAATTCTTAAAAACATTCATTGCAAATTTAGACATTTTGCATCTACCGACTTTCACCCTAAAATGTCCACAACAACTGGAGCTAGGCTAGACTGATGCCAGGGCCCCTGAACTCAGCCTGGGTCTTCTCTGTAAGAGGCAGGAGCCCAAAAATTTTAGCAATTATCTACTGCCTTCCATGATGCCCACTAGCAAGAAGCTAGGATCCAGAATGAATGTTAGGTCTTCACTCATGTACTATGCTGTGGGATATAGCCAACTCAACCACTGCTCTGTCAATCCCATGCCCTGCACGTGTGTGTGTGTGTGTGTGTGTGTGTGTGTGTGTGTGTGTGTGTGTGTGTGTGTGTTCTTCTTTTTCATTGATGCTATCTCCTGCACACAGGTCAAAACAAGTTGTGTGTGTGTATGTGTGTGTGTGTTTGCATAGTAACTCCTCTAGAGTATACATGTGTCTGCCATATTTACTCCTCCTCTTCATGTACAAGGACATTTTGTAAACACAAACAACGCTGCAATTAATAGCCCTATGCCCAAGGATTTCCTTATTGTGGGAGATGTGCTTGTAGGGGATACTTCTACAAGTAAGAACACTGGGCAAAGGCGAGTACCTGTGTATTTAGAGTATGCAGTTTCAAAGTGATGTGGGCAAAGACGGCAACATCTGGCGTTCCCAACAAGCTCTGGAAGTGTTTTTGTCCCTAAGGCTCTGCCTATCATCTTTCTAAATTGTTGTGGGTTTCACAGGTGACAAATTATTGATTTGCATTTCTGTGATTTTGCTAGCAAATTTTTATGCCTATGACCATACAATTTTCAGACTTCTGTACTAGTAGAGATATTAACCCTTGCCTCAGTTCTATATGCTGTAAATAGTTTCTCCCAGTCAGTTGTGGCATTTTTTTATGGTATGCATTGCCAGGTGACATTTTTTATAATTATTCCTTTTATGGCCTCTGATTATTGAGTCATAGTCTTATTTCCCAGTAGAGTGAAAACCAAATACACACAGGTTCTCTTCCAGTGCCTGCATCATTTTACATTGTATATTTATACTAATTCAACTGGACTTTATCCTGGTATGTAGCATGGAATATGAATCTAATGTTAACTCATTTCCCAATGCCTGCCCAACTATGCAAACATCACTGTCTTCGGGAGCCACCTTTGTTACACTGAAGTTTTCATTTGTTATTTGAGCTGGATTCTATACTTTGGTTTGCACTTACCAAAGTGTCTGTTCATTTGCCACTCCCATTGCTATTCTGATTAAGCACTGAAGAACACAAACTTAAGCACAAACATTCTATTTCTTGAGATTTCCTCCCCAAAACATCTGTAGGGTAGCTATATGTCATACCTGTGCTTTACAACGCTCCAGTTCATCTTTGAGATTTGAGTTTTCTTGCTCCCATTCCTTGAATGCCCTTCTCGCTGGCTCTTCTTCCTTTTGGCATAGGATTTCTGCCAGACGTTGATTAAGCTTTTGCAATTCGTCCTGATTTTGAGAGTTCTTTTGGCTAAGTTCTGTATTTTCCAAATCCAACTGTTGGTTTTTGATTTTTAACTCTGAAAGCTAATTAAAATCAAGATCAGTTTTCAAAAAACTTGCTACCCTACTTCTGCTGCAGACACAGATTTAGACACTACTTCCCCTCTTGGTAAAGTTTTAAAATATACACATTTAATAAGAATAAAACATACTCATTATTACAATTCAGTCAGTCCAGAAGCGAATGAATGAGTGGGATATGGTCTAAACCCACTCCATGAGGACCTATGCCACATGGCTGGACACAGATGCCTCCAGATCATTCCCCAGGCAGACACAAAGCCCAGAGACAGAGATGCTTGACTTCTCTGTAGTAAAATAGTGGATCATTTAATGTTTTGACAGCCTGCCTTTGCAATTACACTATCTCACAGACTACTAAGCTTTCTAAGTCAGTGCATTCAGACACTAGCACATGGCTGTATTTTTCACTGAGTATAGGATATTCTCTGTAATGAGATATTCCTCAGTGCATCACTCCATTCCAACACTGACAGTTTAATCATTTCCTTTAATTACAAGGAAGTAATATCATTTTCTAGAAAAATCTATTTATACAGAGAAGGCTTTTTCATTTAGGATTACTGTTTATGAGAAAGCAGGATTGCCAAGTTAAAAGATAAATGTATATAAGAATGTATACAGGGCCCAGCGCGGTGGCGCAGTGGTTAAGGTCCTTGCCTTGAATGTGCTGGGATCCCATATGGGCGCCGGCTCTATCCCGGCAGCCCCCGTTCCCTTCCAGCTCCCTGCCTGTGGCCCGGGAAAGCAGTCGAGAATGGCCCAAAGCTTTGGGACCCTGCACCCGCGTGGGAGACCCGGAAGAGGCTCCTGACTTCGGATCGGCATGGCATCGGCCGTTGCGCTCACTTGGGGAGTGAATCATTGGACAGAAGATCTTCCTCTCTGTCTCTCCTCTCTGTATATCTGCCTTTCCAATAAAAAAATAATAAAAATAAATCTTTAAAAAAAAAGAATGTATACAGAAAGCTTACAAAGCTTATAGAAAAATGAAAGCAAACGGGATGTTTATTTTGGTGCACATTTTTAAAGAAAGATTTTTTCTTTGAGAGGCCCAGTGGTAGACAAAGGAAGAGACTGTCTACCCTCTGGTTCACTCCTCAAATGTCTACAACAGCTAGGGCAGTCTCTCTTTCGCTGCTTTTCCAGGCACATTAGCAGTGACCTGGATTGGAGGTGGCACAGCTGGGCCAGTGCTGGAATGTAGTGGTTAAAACTATACTTGCAGAGCTGCGTCTTGTCCGTACAGCAGCTCTGTTTCATGTTCAGGGCTGCTGCATTTCTGGCCCAGCTTCAGCCTGGTTTAGCCTTGGCCATTGCAGTCACTTGGGGAGTGAATCAGTGGATCAAAGAAGTGTCTTTCTGTCCCACGATAACTCAGCCTTCCAAGTTAATAAACAAATCTTTGAGGGGAGGGGAAAGAAGGAAATAGAGCAGATGGGTTTTGAACTGGCACCCATATTGGGATGTTTGCACTGCAAGTGGCAGCTCAGCCTGCTGGGTCACAATACTGGCCTGCAGAAGTCTTTGACATGTATTATTATTATTTTTTTCACAATAAGCATTTTTTTTTATGAACTTAATTTAAAAAATTGAGAGGCTAGAAGATAGGGAGGGTGGGTGAAACAGCATTATATCAGTTGATTTATTTCCCAAATGCTTGCAGTCGCTGGTGTTGGACCGAGACCAAAATGAGGTGGTAGGAACTCTCCCACTTGAGTGGCAGGAATCGTTCTGTCGCTGCTGCCTGCCCAGGTCTGCATTAGCAAGGAGCCAGAGTCAGGTGCCCAAGCTGGGAATCAGACCCAGGGACTCCAATGTGGGACTCCAGTAACCTAAACACAAATCCTATTCCCAAAATTTTTTTGAAGGTCTTTCATGTGTATATTTTAAAACCTTTTACAGCAAAATAAACTTATCTTTTAATTCCATTTTCCATAAATACATATGTACACTATGTTTGTCTTAACCGATGTCAGCTGGGTTGGTTCCCTATCTTTTCTCAAATGGACTTCAATAAACACTTTTTGAAGTATGCTCCTAAATTACTGTTTAATAATTTCTCAAAATGTCTTTCTCCTAGTATAATCAACGTACAGTGTTTTCAAAGATTTACTTCTTCATATCCTTTTTAATACTAAATAATAGCATTAAAATGATGAAAACCTCACACTTCCCTAGAAAACAATGAAACAAATAATCTTTTTATATCTCTTTTTTCTTTTGATTTCACCATTCATATTGACCATTTTTCAGCAGGATTTTTATAAAATTGTAAAATATATCATGGGTTTATTTTAAGTACTGAAAATACGCTTTGCCCAGTAAGCCCTTATAAATGTTTCAGATGGATTTTTAAAATATGTACATATATTTATCTATTTATTTTGAGACTCAGAGAGTCAAGGAGAGAAAGAGAAAGAGAGATCTTCCACCCACTGATTACTCCCCAGATGGCCATATCAGTCAGCATTGGGCCAGGCTGAAGCCAGGAGTTTGAGCTGGGTCTCCCACACAGCAGGCAGGGGCCCAAACACTTGGGCAGTTTCTGTTGCTTTTCTCTGATCAATAGTAGACAGCCCATATTCTACAAGGGCATTGGTTCAGTCTTGGCTGCTCCACTTCAGATCCAGCTCCCTGCTAATAGCCTGGAACGGCAGCCAAAGATTATCCAAGTCCCCAGACCCCTGCCACCCACACAGGAAACCCAAAAGAAGCTTCTGGCTCCCAACTTTGGACTGACCCATCCCTGGCCACTGCATCTATTTGGGGAGTGTACCAGCAGATGGAAGATATGTCTGTTTTTCCTCCTCTCCTTTCATAACTCTGCTTTTCACATAAATAAATGGATTAAAACAAAAATAAAAACACAACCCATACATATTGAGTACTAAACAACACAAACAGCATGAATAACTCACAATTCTGTGAAATGGTGTGCTAATTAACTGATACTCTAAATCTGAAAGTCTGTCCTGAACTTCCTACTTGGTAGTCTTGGTGACGAAATTAAGACATGTTAATTGGAACTACATAAAGGCTAGAGGTGGCATAAGTAAGGTTTCAGAGGTGTCACCTCCTATCTGCACTGATTATAAAGTTTATATTAAGCAGTTAGGGTCTGAAAAATAACATTTCAGCTTGCAAAAACAGGAATCTACATTAGAGTCAGACTTAGGCATGTGCTGAATGGATCATCCCTCCTTAGGTACATGTTATGCTAGTAGCATGTGCTACACATTTATATAAATTCGAAAGAAGATACATTTCAGAATCAGTAAGCACTGGGAAATATTAAACAATTCCTTACTTGTTTTTTTAAATCTTCAACCATTTTCTGAATTGCAGCTTTTTCCTGTTTCACTGTTTCTATTTTTTGCCTAAAGAAACAATAAAAACCTGAGAGTTAAACTCTAAAAGTTGAAGCAAAATAATTTCTTAGTCCTTTGTCAACATGTTGTAGGAAAGTTTAAGCATGCTATGCCTCACCACATTTCTTCCCGAGATCCATTTAATTTTCCCAACTCCAGGTTAGAATTGCTATCTTCTTCGCTTAAAGTAGTAATTTCATTTCTCAAAATAGAATTTTCCTCTTGAAGGTTTTCAGATTCATATCTGAAGTAGAGATGTAAAAAAAAAAATGTTTTAATGAGGCAGTCATCTGTCTTACTTGGAAAATATTTTCTAGTAGCTTCCAATAAGAATTGCATGCCAGTTAGGGAATTGGAAGTTAAGATTCTCTTAGTGGTTGGAAATCAGGTGCATATGGTGGGAAGAGAGAAACTGAGGGTCCATTCTGGTTGTTGTATGCTTCAGCAGTCATTGCTAAGAAAAAGATTTGGAGCAAACAACTTCATTTTTCTCCATCCCAAGTCCTACCTGCTCTAAGCAGGCAGAGTGACCTGACCCAGGGTACTCTTTAGTTTGCAGTCCTCAGGTACCCACAGAAACTTGCATTTATTCTGTGGGTTCATTCATCTCACCATGTTCTGATTTTTTAGAATTAAGAATGGCCTGAGGGAAGAGGAGGAAAATCTCCATTCAGAATAAATTACTTTATTTCCTGGCATTAAGATATTTCAGTCATGATGTAGTATTTTCTATTTTTTTTTTTTAAAAACCAAACTTGTGGGAAGCCTCATGCAATCCTATTTGATGAGGTCAGATGAGCAATGCTTCCAATTAGTTCCAGTTTGGTCTTCTCTTCTCAAGTGGATTTATAGGAAGCTGGTGGCTCCTTGATCAAATTATATGTTCTTAAAGAAGTGTACAGGATGTCAGTGAGTACTTGGAATGACGTAAGTAAAAAACTATAAACCACAAAACATCTTTCCAGTGTTAGGAACAGGACAGAGATCTTTTCTACCAGGCGAGTCAATAACACACAAAAGGCATTCATTCATTTAACAACAACAACAACAAAGACAAAAGCACCTATCCATTGAATAGCCTTAAGAGAGGTACAGACACACACAGATGATGCCTGTGGTTAAACAGCCAACGCCTGCCAGCTGGCACTTGCACAGCCCCAGTGAGCTACAGAGGGAAAGGCATGCCTCCCAGGCAAGGTGAGTCTATCAGTTAATACACAACACAGAAACAGGAGGGAGCCGGGAGTGTTGTTCTGGCTGGAAGCCTAGCGGGTTAGCGTCTCTAGGCACAGCAAGCAGCGCACGTTAGCTTTGGTGAGGTGTTCCACGGGCTTCTGCAGGGTCTAGCAGGTGCGTACGTTACCTCAGAAGCTCAACTTTGTGCTGCATCTCACTGCACGCCGTGTGCAGGTCGTGCATCACTGCCTTCAGCTCTTCCTCCTCCCCTTGTCCAGGACCACCTTTCTGTTGAACTAAAGTCGTGACTCGCTCCCTCAACCTCCGTGTGAGCTCCTGGAGTTTCCTCTTCTCCAGGACCAGCTCAGCTACGGTGACCTGACGTCGAGAGCACTCTTCCCAAAAGCTCAGGAGAGCTGTGTCTTCCTCTGGTTTAACTTGGCCTTGTGTGCAATCCTGTTCTGGATGTACCTGACTGCTTCTGTGGCCCCAGCCAACATCCCATGCTTTGATTTTTCCCAAGAGTTGCATCTTCTGCTGTTCCAGGCATAGCCTTTCTTGCTTCCCTTCTTTGGTCATGCGGTGCACACTGAGGCCCCTGGGTACACACTCTTCCAGCGTTTGATCGAGTTCAACTTCCCCTTCCAGGTCATCCACACGGGTGTCCCATGAGGTGGAACAGTCATATTGTCCTGCCGTTTCTTCTTGCAGCGTCTCAAGCTGTTCTTGAAGTCTCAACACCAGATCCCTGAGCTCCTCGTTCTCTGCCCTGATATCATCGTAGCTCTTTTCCAAGTTAAGCAAGGTCTCAGCTGCTTCCTCGGCTTTCCTCAGCTCGCCTTGCAATCGGAAGACCTCAGCCCTGAGCTCCCGGTTATTCTCTAGGGCCTCACCATAGCGTGTCTCCATCACGCTCAGCTCATCTTGTAGGCAATCATTTTCCTGGCTCATATCGTTGTACAGCAGCTTGTACTTGGAGGGAACCTCGGGAAGTTTTTCCAGTAGCCTGAGCTTCTTTTTGAGCACAGACACCTCGCACAGCAGGTGCTGCTTCCTTTCGGACACACGATCGCAATCTGCGCGCAGGCTCGCCAGCTGTTCCCGAAGCTGACTGATCCGGACCCGAAGGTCCCAGGATTCAGTCCTGGTCCCTTCACTGTTCTCAAGCTCCGAGAAACTCTCGAGGGAAGCGTCAGACTCCTCCATTTTGATCTCGCCTCTCGGGACAGAACCTGTCCCTGTACTTCCCTGGTGCTGGGTCTGGTCATCTTGTGGGTTGCTTAGGCGGCGCCGGGTGGTTACGCTGTCTCCTTGGTTCGACTGGTTTTGGGGCAAAAACGATTCCACTTGGTCCACAGAATCTGCAATAAACTCAGTAGCTGCCTCGTTGGAGTGGGAGGACGTGACTGATCCCGGTTCCAATGTTCTCAGCCTCTGCTGCAATCTAGAAATTTCCACAGCCATCTTTACATTCTCCTTCACAGCTCGTTCGTGAGCCCGCTGCAGGCTCACAAGGACGTCGCCGTTCTCCTCCAGCAGCTGCTGCCCTTGCTGAAGTAGGGTCATGGTACCGCTTCCATCCTCCACTTCCTCTCCCATGGCCTCACCACTGTCCTGCGACTCAGCCAGAGGAGCTGGCACCTGCTGCATTTCCCTGATTCGATCCTGCAGCCTGACGATTTCTGAGCTCATTTGAGCCCTCTCCCGATCGGCTTTTTCACAGGCCGCTTTGTGCATGCTCTCCAGGGCCAGCAGCTTGCATGTCCAGTCCTGCCGCTGGCGTTCATGCTCCACGTGGAGCTTTTCCAGTCGCTGGCTGGCCAGCAGCTGGTTGGCCCCGGTCAGGCCCGGCCCCTGCTCACCGCTGCTCACATCTCCGTGCACACTGCTCTCTGGCTGCAGCGTTTGGTCCGAGAGGTGCCAATGCTGGTGCTCGGACAACTTCCTCAGCTCTTCCAGATCGTGGAGCAGCTGCTCTCTCTCGGCAACCATGCTGTTCAGGTGCTCTTTGTACGTTTTCTCGAGCATCTCTCTCTCGTGGGTCAGGACCAGAGAAGTGGCTTTCTCCCGCTTCAGAGTCTCCTGCAGCTGCTCCTGGGCTTCTGCGCACTCCTGGATGAGCTCGTCCTTCTCAAACTGCCACTGGGATCTCTCCTCCCGTTGCTGAGCCCGGAGCTCCCTCAGCTCCTGGCGGTAGCGCCCCTCCAGGCTCTGCAAGGCATTTTCACAGCTCTCCGTGACTTTCTGACAGTCGGCCTGAAACCGGGCTTCTAGCTCACAGGTTCTTCTAGAACACTCGGTTTCCACTTTTTCCCTAAATGTGGTCAACATACAGGATTATTGGCGCTGGAGCCACCTCCGGAAGCAAACAAAATACATGGCTCTATGCATAGAGGAAGCTGCTAGGCACACACTGCTTTCTTAAAATGATCTCAACTCCTCCGTGCCTCACCTACACTGGGAAGGAATGTCACGTCTCAGAGGTGAGAATGGCCACCTTCGTGCACTTACACTGACCTCTTGCGGGAGTTGGGGCAAGTTTATACCACTCCAGTATTATGCCTACTCCTGCATGTGTCTGTTAATGGATTTTAAACCAAAGACCTGAGCTAGTATTTCACACCAAATGATCAAATGCATTTGAACCTGAACCCCTACCTTAGGAAATGTAAGTCATTCCTCCACTGTACTTGAGCACGCACTGAGGACAGCTGCCACATATACCACACGTGCACACGTTAACAGGTTCCCTCTACTTTGCCTCACATGTCGTAAAGGGGCATTAAGTTTGTCCAGGCGTGAAGCACCAAAGTCCTCAAGTGAGCCTGGGGTTTTGTATAAGGAAAGTGGTAAGTCCCAACACTGGGGGGTTGGGGGGTGGTGCACCACTGGCCAGAATGCAGCCTGGGGAGCCAACTGCTATTCTCAGAGCAACAGGACAGAACTGGGAAGGAACCACAATGAAGATCACCTGAGCCTCATCCAGAGCCTTGGGACACACTAAGCATCTTAACATAGGGAATCCTCTGCAAAAGCCACTTCCAAAGACCCCCAGGTAGGCTTAGATCACAAGTGGCAGAACAGGTTGAAAACTGTAAGAGAATCTAAGCAATCCCTAGGCAGCCGGGCTTTCTGATTGCTCCTTAGTTGTCCGCTTAACTGACCATCACTTCTGGAGACACCCCTCCTTCCTCCTTTCTTACCTTCCCTCGCGAAGTTCCCTTTGGTGCTGCTCCACGAGCTCTTTCCTTAGCTCTTCTTTCTCAAGAGCATGCTTCTCCCCCAGGCTTTTCAGCTGCTCCTGGTGAAACCGTTCGAGGCCTTCGGTCAAGCCTCTCACCTTCTCTTCTGTCCAGGAGCTGCCTTGGAGAAGTCCTTCCCTCTCCTGGTTAAACTGCTCCTCTGCCTGCTCCAGCCTTTCCTGAAGCTCCTGCTCATGTTCCAGCCTGAGCTGCTCCCGCAGGCCAGTCTGCTGTTCCTCAAAGGAGGCCTGCAGGTGCCTCTTCTCCTCCTCATGCCTGCAGGTGGCCTCCCGGTGTGCCTCCTTCAGCACCTCTGCCTGCCCCTGAAGTTCAACGATTTCCTGTTTCAGGTCACCAATCTGCTTCCTCAAGGCGTGCACTTCCTGCTCGTACTTCTGCTTCGTGGCCTCCTGCTCCTTTTCACAGGCAGCCCTGCTTTCCTGCAGCTGTATTTCATAGTGGTGCACCTAAAGGCAGACAGCCACACTGTCACAAGGTCACTCAACACTAGGCCATGGCAGGGGCTGCAAGGACTTATTTCCCCCTATATGACATTCCTCAGGTTTCCCATTTTGTTTGCAAACATTGCAATCCACTTGAAGCAGGACTCTCAAGTCAGGCATCATGTGCCCTTTTTTTCTATTTTCAATTTTTAATGTGGCCAAATTTCATTAATTTCTGAACAGTCCTATGAAGGACTGAGCAAACTTTCCATCCTAGACAGGCTTGCCTTCTTTTGCATCCTTTCCAATTACAATTTTAGGGCCTCAAAGTGATTAATTAAATTAATTTATCCAACATCTCCCAGGTACTCTAAAGGATTCATGGGAATACAAAGTTTAGTAATGCAAGGTCCCCAATGTGAAGGGAAAAACCAATGTAGACATGGGAGGGACAACATTAACTATACTAAAGGGTACAAAAGAGTGTAAAAGATATCCACAATTTCTTCTGGAAGGTTATATTCCAGTCCAAGGAGAGAAATATCAGGTTGCCATGCCGGTCTGGAACAGCTTAATGGAGGAGGCAGCATTTGCTACCAGCAAATGGGGTTTGGTGGACAAGAGAGCACTCCAGGGTGAGGCGGAAGGACGGGGTACCTCTAAGGCATGATGAAAGGGAAGGCTGACAGTGGGTATAAAGCCATGTGGCAAGGGGATTGGAAGCCAACATTCCAAACCTGATCCCAACTCAACAGGCAATGCTACATCAAGGGGCTTTCTATTTGTAAGAGTTTTCTAACAAGTTGGAAGTAACAAGATGGACTTGAAGCGACAAGTTTCATGCTTTCCAAGGCTGAAGATACCATGAAGAAGCTCTCTTCCTGGAGGGATCCTGTAAAACCATCCAGAGTCTATAGGTCTGGGACAACACCAGACACAAAAGGCAACCCAGAGAAAAGTGCTGCTCTGTAAGAAAAAGGACTGAGAAAGACCCTGTGCACAAAGGACTGTCAGAGGCCAAAGAAGTCCAGGTGTGGGCTGGGAGTCAGGGACTTACCTTATCTTCCAGCTCCAGTTTTAGGCGGCACATATCCTCCTGGTGCTGTTCCTTCATCTGTTCAATGACCATCTCTGCCTCAATGCTCATATTCAAGGGATTGCATTCCTCAGAACCCAGACCTGCAAACATATGGGATAATTCATTGATCCTGCAGCAGGTTCAGCAGGGCCTTTTGATCTATCTGACTTCAGGACAAATCATCAGAGCCTGAACTTCCACGTAGCTGATGCCCTGGGAGTTAGCCAAAGCCCAGAGAATTCGCTTCTCAAGTATTAGGCCAAATAAGATGACACAAAGGGGCTCAGATGTTTCTCTAGATAGGGACTGAACCAATCCGTAATAGAATCTTTTTTTTTTTTTTCCTTAACAGCAGGTAGGGAGGGATGGTGTGGAGACTGGTGCCTATGGATGACCACCTCTTCATGGAAATGCTGCCAGGTGAAGGACATATCAGCAGAGGGGCTAAATGACAGGGGGATGAATGGCCACCTATTGGCTGCTCTGCCCTGAGGACTTTATGTCATGGCTCAAACTACCCCACCTATCACTCAACATTATAAGATACATACTGTCATACAGAATTCCTAGAGTTATCCTCATCCTAAATTCTCAACTAAAATAAGATGGAAAAAATGGGCATAGGTTAGGAGCATGGATAAAGGGTGTTTTGGGAGGGGGTAGATTGGGGATGTGATTCTCAACACATCCATTTGAGTCTACCTCTGCATTGCCCAGGGGGATGACAAAATGTGAAAACCTAAGTTAGAGTGAGTTAATACACAGATACACAGGGGATGTTCAATACTCCTGGGACAGAGCGACTGAAAACATCTTTCTTATATGGGGTTCACAGGTACATGGGAGAAAGGGTCTCTTCTTGGGCAGCAGGGGGTTGAGACTTTTTATTTACTGGTTTTGAATATTTCACTCTTTTTCCTGGGTTTTGTCTTCACATGCTTGATTATATCTCCAATTGAGAAGTAATACATTGGGGATTCAGCTCCACTCATCCACAAAGAGTAGCCTCAACCCTTGTGTGGCTATGAAAAAGCCAAGAAAGGCAGCTGGTATGCAGCACCATCTACTCTGATGGCCTCCATCCTTGACCACAGTAAGCCAAGAATCTAAGAAAGGCCTGGAGACCTTTTTATCTCCCTTCCCAATTCCTTATTTATCATACAAGAAAAGGAGATGAGGGAAAGAATAAGTGGCCTTGGGAAGAATCGTACTCCGCCTCAAGTAGCACTGAGAAAAACTGTGGACAGAAGAATAGATGATCAGTTGTTCATTCTCAATCCACCCAGCTAAAAGGCAGGATTTCAGAAGGCTGGAATAGGCTGTGGGTGACCATGTGTGGGCTTGTAACCAAGTCAGCTTTCCAATGTGGCTACTCTGAATCCTTCTCAAAGACCAACCCTTATTTATCTCATTTGTTGTCTTGCAAAGGCAAGACATTCAGGACAGGCAGCAGCAGGTTCCCAGCTGAAGATCATGTGGTTTGTGGCTGGCCCACTCTCCAGAACCATCTTCACACCAGTCAGGCACTCTCACAGGAAGGGAGGGGCCGGTGTCAGTTCAGGGTCTGAATTCTAACTCCAAGGCCACAGCTTTGCAGCCAAGTTTTTGTGTGTTTGTCTTCCATAAAGCAAATACCCTGTGATTTGAATTTTCCATTCCTTTCCTGATGCCTATCAAAAGCACATGGAAATTAAGACTTCAAGGACACATGAACCACCAGCCGACAAATGAAACAGCTCAAGCAGAGTCATGCCAATGTCTTTTTGTTTTCCCTTTCAGGGTGCCAAAGATGTGTGATTTTACATGCAACTGGTTCTATAAACAAAGGTCGAAGGCAGAGACTGAAAAGACAGTTTCTGAATGTGGTTTACCCTGGTTGGGCTCAAGGCCACAGCCATTACCGTCCAGTTCCTCTGACAGCGAACTCTTCATGGGAAGCCTGAATCCTCTGCCTTGTGCACGGTACTCTTCCAGCTCAGACTGGAGCTCATCCACTTGATCTTGCAAAATCTGCAGTTTAAAAACCAATGCCCAAAGCACAAGCAACAATAGAAAAAAAAAATCAGATATCAAACTAGAAACTTCTGTGTTTCAAAAAACACCATCACAGAAGTCCAAGATAACCCAAAAACTGGGAGAAACACTTTGCAAGTTTTAAATCTGATAAAAGACCTTAACTAGAACACATACAAAGCACTACAACTTTAAAAGTAAGAAGGCAAAGAACTCAAGATGTGAACAAAGGGCTGGTGTTGTGTGGCAAGTTAAGCTGCTTCCTGTGAAACCAGCATTCCACATGGGTGCCAGTTTGAGTGGCAGTTGCTCCACTTGTGATTCAGCTCCCTAGGAAAATAACAGGAGATGGTTCAGGTATTTGGCACCCTGCCACCTGTGAAAGATAGCTGGATGGAGTTCCCGGACCTCAGCTTTGGCCTGGCACAGTTGTGGCCACGTGGAGCATGAACCAGCAGATGAAGATTTCTCTTTCTCTTTGTAACTTTGTCTTTCAAATAAATAGATCTCTTTTTAAAAAAATGAGCAAAGGATCTAGACATTTGTCAAAAGAAGATACACAAATGATTAAGTTCACAAGCATCATTAACTATTGAGCAAATGCAGATCTAACCCAAAGCTCCTGATTCATGACAGTTGGATAAGCCCTGGACCCACTAAACTGAGTGAAGGAAGCTGATCACAATGACCACATCTGGTGCCACCGATAAGAAACGCACACAACAGGCCAAACTGTGGACAGCAAGTGGAGGAGCAGGGGGTTGGTTTTTGGCACAGGGGCTAAGACATGAGACACCCATGTTCCTTCTACAGTGCCAGTCAAGTCCCGGCTCTTCTTGATTCTAGCTCCCTGCTAAATGCAAGTAAGTATGTAGCTGATGATGGCCAAAGCACCTCTGTCCCTGCCGCTCACGTGGAAGACCTGAATTCAGCTAATTCCTGGCTTCTTCTTGGCCTAGTATTGAGACTGAATCAGCAGATGGAAGATAACTCTGTCTCTGCCTTTTAAATAAATACAAAATAAAGAGAAACTGGATTAATGGGGCAGATCATGGGAGAGATTCTGGCAAAGTGAAGTAGTGTTGTCCTTCTGGGATGACGAAAATGTTTTAAAATTAGGTATGGGTAACACGGGTACATGATTCTGCAAACATAATAAGACACTGAGTTGTACAATTTCTTAAAAAAAAAAAAAAGACTATTTATTGAAAAGCCAGATTACAGAGAGAAGGAGAGACAGACAGAAAGATCTTCCATCTGCTGGTTCACTCCCCAGGTGACCACAATGGCCAGAGCTGAGCTAATCCAAAGTCAGGAGCCAGGAGCTTCTTTTGCGTTTACCACACCAGTGCAGGGTCCCAAGGTTTTGGACCATCCTTGACTGCTTTCCCAGGCCACAAGCAGGGAGCTGGATGGGAAGTGAAACAGCTGGGACATGAACCAGCACCCATATGGAATCCCAGTGCATGCAAAGCAAGGACACTAGCCGCTAGGCTACCACGCCAGGCCCTGAGTTGTACATTTGAAATAGGTAAGATACATGGCATAAAAAGCTATTTAAAAAAAAGAAAGAAATGTTGGGGCTGGCACTATGGTGCAGTTAGTTAAGCTGCAGTCTACAGCACTGGCATCCCATATGGGTGCTGCTTCAAGTCCCAGCTGCTCTACTCCTGATGCGGCTCCTTGCTAATGCACTGGGAGAGCAAAGGGGGCCCAAGTTCTTAAGCCCCTGCACCCCTACAGGAGACCCAACTAAAGCTCGTGGCTTTAGCCCAGCTCAACTCGGGCTGTTGTGGCCATTTGGGGAATGACCTTGTAGGACCAAGATTTCTAACTCTAGAAGAGTTAGAAACTCTAGAAGAGTTTCTTTTTAGAGAAAAAAGAAGAGGGCAGGCAGGAATTTCTGAGGAAGAGCTGAAAGGTCTTATGAATGAGTTAAGCCAGAACCAAGGTAACCTAAGGAAAAAAAGAGAATGTGAAAACCGTGGTCTCATCCACAGTCCTTTAGCCCTTGACCCTTCACACCCTAATCAAATGTGTAAAAATTATAAAAAATAAAATTTATATAATTAAAAAACAAGTAACCTAAGGCAAGAAAAAGTTTGATCACTATTCTCAAATGTGCAGGTCTCTTTCCTGGGATGGCAGAGACCGGAAGTGACTTCAGAAAGAGGCCATTGTCTTCCTCACCTTGGCACAGTCACTGTGCCTTCTAAAGCAGTCAGACTTCAGTCATGCAGACCAGATTAAAGGAAAAAAGGGCCTTGGGGGCCTAGCACAATAGCATAATGGTTAAGGCCCTCACCTTGAACACACCCAGGATCCCATATGGGTGCCGGTTCCAATAACGGCAGCCCCGTTTCCCATCCAGCTCCCTGCCTATGGCCTGGAAACGCATTGGAGGACAGCCCAGAGCCTTGGGACTCTGCACTCACATGGGAGACATGGAGGAAGTTCCTGGCTCCTGGCTTTGGATTGGTGCAGCACCAGCCGTTGTGCTCACTTGGGGAGTGAATCATCAGACAGAAGATCTTCCTCTCTGTCTCTCCTCCTCTTTGTATATCTGACTTTGCAATAAAAATAAATAAATCTTAAAAAAAAAAAAAAAAGGTCTTGGACTTAGGGTGGGGGAAACCTGAATTACTAAGCTGAGGGTTGTCTTTTTTTTTAAAAATTATCAAAGATTGCTGCTGTTTGTAAGAATGTTTATGTGGGTTCCTGGCAGAAATTGGAGATAAGAGCAGTTTCTGCTTCATTTGCATTTTGCTAATAAAAAAACGCCACATGTGATCACCAGATCTGGTCCTGGATGCTCCTCTTCCGATCTAACTCCTGCTCATCTGCTGGTGGAAGCAGTGGAACGTGGCCTAAGGCTTTGCACCCTGCCAACCACGTGGGACATTTGGTTTGAATTTCCGGCTTCTGGTTCTGATCTGGTCCAGCTGTGGCTCTTGTGGCCTTTTGGGGGAGTGAACTAAAAGCTGGAAGATCTGCCAGTCTCTCCTTTCTCCCTCTATAACTCTGCTTTTCAAATAAGTAAATAAATCTTTTAAAATGCAGAAAAATGAAATCCCGTGGGACTAGGTCTGCAGCGATGAGTCAGGAAAGGCTGATTTTGGTACAGGCGCATCACTGTGAGCAGAGTCCTCTACGGGGAACAAAACCACGCTTCCCTCTAAGCAGGGGCCGTTTTTAACCTAAACGTGACAGACTAGCATGCCGTTTGCATGATGCTCTAATATCAAGAGCTAACATTTACATCAGTGCTTATTCTATCGCTAGTTGAACTCTAAACACACAGCAGAGGCAGTCACTCTACTTCCCCTCCAGCTGCACTGTGGGATTTCTCATTTCAAACTTGAGGCTCAGACACGCGCACGGTGGCCCGTGAGGCGGGGATCAGAACACTCTGCCCGTCCTTACTGCCCCCAGCACTCACCCTGCACTGCTGCTCGTATTCGTTTCTCATTTGCGTCAGCCTCTCTTCTTGCAGGAAGAACTCAGCACTGTTGGGGTCAAGGTCACCAAACTAGCAGAAGGAAAAGTCAAAGCTGTCATTCTTCTCGAGTGTCCTTGCACGACCTAACACTCCTAAAGCCCCAGTTCCTGGCATTCCACCAGTCTCTAGAGTATGAATGGAATGTGGCATGCTGGAGAGAACATTCTAGAAGGATGAGTCCAAACAAGGCAGGGATCATTTGGTGCCTGGCCACAGCGTCCCTCATAACCAACATATCAAATGATATCCCTTCAGAAGTTATAGTCCCCTTTAGCCACCCAAAAACTTTCCCGGTAAGAGTGTTTTGGGCACTGCTTTCTGCTCTGAAACTACACCTTGAGCTGCCTGTTGGGAAATCAGATTTCAACAGCTTTACCTTTTCTGCTAACACATTTTCCAAATTTCGCTGAAGTTTGTTGGTCAGATTCTCATACTCGGCCAACTTCTCTGCATTCTCCTGCAGCTCATTTTCCAGACGGCTGTTTTCCTGAGGAGGTTGGGGAATGGAATGCAGCACCGATTTAGAAAGAAGCCAACTGTGGTCTCATTTCATACGAAGCACAAATCAGTGTCCCTGATTAAATTCAGTTCCAGTAGACGAGTGGACACCACAGCAAATACTAGAAATTCTGCTACCTATCTCACAACCCAAAATTTCTTTTGTTTTGTTGATTCAATAGAACTAGGTTATCCAATGTGACAGTTGGGAGGCAGGCTTTGGGCCTACTGGTGGAGACGTTGGCTAAGCCACTTTTGTTTTCCATCAGAGAGCGTGGGTTCAATGCTCAGCTCTGCCTGACTCCAGCTTCCGGTTAATATGGACCCGGGGAGGCAGTGAGCAATGACTTAGGTGGAAGGTCCCAACACCCCCAAGCGAGAAGTGGATTGAGCTCCTGGTCCCAAGCCATTGCAGTAATTTGGAGATTTAACCTATGGATGAGAACTGTCTCCTCTTGTTGGCTTTCAAAAATATAAACAAATAAAACAAATCAAACAAACAAAAAACCCCACAACACTCTAGGGTAGCCACTGGCAGCCATGTGTGGATATTGAACACTTGTGGTATGTCTAGTGCAGGAATCTTCAAAAGATTCTTGAAAAGTGAATTTTATGAGAAACTATGCATGGATTTTTTGGCACCAAAATGATCATCTAACTCAATTCTTAAACTTTTTGAAATGCCCTCATATAAACTGAGGTGTACTGTGAGTGTAAAATACTGGATTTTTTTTAATAGTACAAGAACATAAAACAGCTCAGTAATATCTTGATTACAAGTCGAAATGATATCGTGGAAACACTAGATTAAATAAGTTGAAAATAATCTCACCTGTTCCTTTTTACCTTTTATCACAGGTATTTACAATCTGAAATTACAGATGTGGCTTGTATTATATTTCCTTAGGTAATATTACAATAGATTAATAATATAAAAGTATTAAACATATTATGAAATGAATAAAAAAACTGGTTACAAACTACTTTGTGCCACTACCAGCTGAAATAAAAATGCTATAAAAAGTAGAATGGCTCTAAAATCTGTCTTAATTTACTGATTTGCTAGGGTGCTTTACATTTAATTTAGACATTTTAGTTATGGATGCAAAAGCTATACTTGTAAGCCGTTTATAACGGTGCATGTTTAAATTCTTATAATAAAATACCAAGTGAAACTCATACAAGGCTATTTCTTCTGTCACTGAAATGGGTCTGAGGCGGCTGGAACAAGGCCTCGTAGTTAAGAAACTGAGAAGGATGTAGTTAAGAGGCAGGGTGACTGGATTGGATGCCTGCCTCTGTTCCCAATGCCACTTCCCACCCTGAGAGGCAGCTGACAATGGCTTGGGAAGCTGGGTCTTGGCCACCCATATGGAAGACCTGGATTGAGTTCCTGGCTCCAGCCCTGGCTACCACAGACATCCGGGGCATGATCCAGCAGATGAGTGGTCTTTGTCTCTGTTTCTGCCCCTCAGAAACAAAAATTGCACGTGTACACACAATACACAAAATCTTTAGAAAGATGTCCACCTGTGCCGGTTGAAAAAAGAAAATCCACTACATGCCACCTGACATATTTCCTCCTTCAGTGTTAAGCAGGCTGACTGGCAGAACATCGTCTGTCAGAGACTCTTTTGGCAAAAACACATACAGTCAGAATAGTCTTAAAATATATTCTAGTTCACACCCTCACATAGCAATATGGAATCAAAAAAGAATGTACTTGAAGCATTTTTCAAGTGCCAACCTCTCCTAAAATGCCAATTCTATAACTAATTGTTGAAAATACAGTAAGATGGAATTTCTGTGTAGCAGGCCTTATGCTGGCACTTGGACCAATCACAGACTTACTGAGCAGAGGCAGGTGTGGGACACCTACCTATGATGTGACAAGCAATGTGCCATCCCCTGGGGAAGGGTAACTGAGATGATATCCAGAGGGCAAGGCCCCCTCAAGATGGAGCTGCTGGCAGGAGCTGAGCCAGATACGCACAGGGGCAGTTGGATCCCCATCTGTCGCCTTAAATGCTACTGTGTGTTTTTACAGATGTGACTGTCACTGATCCTTGGTACGGTCACTCTGGTGGCCGTGGAGAAACAGGAGAGACGGACATAGGGCATCTAGAATGCACATGCATCAGCCGGGATGTCAGGGAGGACTGGGTACCTACGCAGATGTGGGGAAACGCCGAGGAAGAGGCACAACAGCCCAAAACGCCCAAGCAGCACTCCTGGCCATCAGGACGACTCAGGTGCATGTGTGACCACTGTAAGTGAACTTCAGCTCCTGGGGATGGGGGATCATGTTGTTTAGAGGGAATGTGTTGGAGCTGAGGCTGTTGGCTGGTAAGGGGATGACGATTAGCTCCATTTTTGACCTGTCAAGTTCCAAGAAGCTTCTCTTAGAGCAGCCCAGGCTGCTTGTCCTTGTCCTTAGAGTTTTGCACACACGAAGCACATGCTAGATGATGTGAACCCTACATCAGTGCACAGGGTGGGAACTAGCGTCACCATGACCCCAATTCATACGTTAGCTAATGGGTCTGAGCAATTTGGTCAGGGTCTGTGCAACACATGGTGGCGCCCAAACCACAACCCAGAGCCGAGAATCCTGCCCCATCTTTTCTGGTGAGAGTCCACCCTGAGGCTGAAGAGGAACGGAAGGATGCAGGGGAGAAGAGGTGTACTTGCAGGCAGAGGGTGTGGCAGGAAGTGAGGTCTCTGCCATGAAAAAAGTGGCAATTGGAGACCTCACAGCGAGGGTGAGGGTGTCAACCAGTGCCATATAGCCCTGAGGACCCCATGCAACCGCAGCAGGCGACAAGGGCAGGATTCATGGCTCTGCAACACTGCCAGCCCACCCGAAGCCTGGATCCAGAGGCCAGCAGAGGCCCTCTTTACCCAGCAGGGCAAGCAGCAGCTGGGCCTGAACCTTGCCCTGGGTGTCATCCCAGCAGGGGCACAGACCACGGAGGTCACGAGATGATTACCTTTAAACAGAGTGCGAGGCGGTCCCGGACAAAGCTCTCTTCTGTCTTCGCCTTCTCAATCTCCTGCTCAAGTTCTATGCGCTGCTTGCCCACCTGCTGTAGGATCTGCTCCCTCTCTCTCCGCAGTTCATTCTTTAAAGCGGTTATGCGCTCCTTGTACTCTTCATCCAGTTTCCTGCGGTAAAGAAAAGTTGGCAAGACGCCATGAGACCCCTCAGGGGTTGAGAGGCTGCCAAATAAAAGAAACCCAGTCAAGGAGACAGCACTTGTGCCAATCCTAGGTGTGGCCAAGCAGGCTGAGCGCCCCCTGCCGTTCTGGCCCTGCAGCTGCAGGCACCTCTGCAATGAGCAGGTGTGACGAGGGGAGGACTTGCTCTTTGGGTTGTGTCCCACCTGAGGTTATACTCATTCCTCCTCTCGATGGCCGCATGGTGATCGTCCACCTCTGAGGCCATCAGGGACTTGAGTTTCTCAGCCTTGTCCAGGTCTGACCGCAGCTTTTCTTTCTCTCTCATCACTTGATCCACTCGTTCTCTAGAATCAGCAATAAACAGTGTCAACGGGCAACCCATTTCTAAGTAACAAGCTGACTTTTCAAGACTCTCCCTGGCTTGCCTCAGGGTAAAACTTAAAACCAAGTCAACCCTAAATGTTCTCCAAATAATAGGTCCTTCCCCACCTGCGAGCCACCATAAGCTCCACCTTGCTTTCCTACAGTGGCAGGAAGGTCCATGGGCACATGAGAGAAGATGAGGCACGTTTGCATCCAGAATGGCAAGAGAGCAGAAGGGAGTCTACTGCAGGCATTTGATGGACTTGATGGCCAGGCCAACATGCTCAACTCACAGCAAATGCCGGATCTCGGCCTTGAAGCTGGCCAGGGCTGCCTGGTGGATGCCATTCTTGGTGACCAGAAGCTCGTTCTCGAGAGCCAGCGTCAGTTCTGTCAGGTTGACGTTGCCGTCCAGGCTGAAATCCAAGGCCTAAAAAACACAAGGCAAGTTCAAGAACAGGTGCCAAGTCCTGTCTTTCACAAGTTGAAAATGTGACAGTTACACCAACCCGAAGAACACAATGCAGTTTAGGGGCAGGGTGTTGACGCGGCCCCCCAAGACTGCACAAAGTTCTCCCCCAAAAAAGTGTAATATGGGGAGTTACTGGCATTTTTTTTTTAAATAGCACCTAGCACTGACACTCAACACAATGGTATAATTGTAGTCTGTTTTAAAGTAGATAAAAGGACATTTGCCATGTCACTAACTGTGGACTTAAAAACAGGGAAGGTAATTAGCAACAGGTGACTCACTCAAGAAGGTAGGAAAAGTGACTCAACTCTTCATTCTGAGAGCTTACGACTGGAAGCATCATTAAAAGCAAATCCAGTCACAGAGCTCCAAGACAAGTGGGAGATTTCCCTCCCTTGCCCAGTGTGTCATTGTCCCCTCCTACAGAAGTGGCCAGACCTTCAGGATCTCCTGGCTGTTCTCGATGCCCTCCTCCTGCCAGGTGTCCAGGATGCGTTCCACAGAGGCCTGGCCCATCCCATCATCCCAGCACGAAAAGACCCGGAAGCCAATGGTGCCGGCCATCACGGACGGGGCTGTGGTGCGGCGTCCACTCTCATCAAAGGACTGCAAAGAAGACAGGACCCTGAGTGAGCTGAGCTGGACTCTTGGAATGTCAACAAGACCAAACATGGCAGCTGTGACCACAAAGGGCACTACCAACCCACACCGCCAGAAAGATCACATGGCTACCCCCCTTTGATCTCTGGTCCCAAACCAGTCAAGGCTGTGAAGCTTATCAGAAATGACTATTTTGGTAGCGAGATCTTTGACATACATGTGACTTGGTTGAATCTTGTGTGTGTCTGACATTAAGTGATGAATTTGGCGGAACTGATTCCAGTGGGGTCCATCTTTGACAGCCACTTTGTGTACATTTTTACCTGCATGGAGAGGTGCCTCTTCAGTTGTCTGTATGGAGTGGATGCAGATGGTGTGAGAGACTTCCCATGCTTGAACAACCCACAGAAGAAGTCTTCCACACTCATCGTACCATCAGGATCAAGGTTATGGAACACTTCCTCCAGGGTCTGGAAAAGAGTGACCACGCATTATAAAGACTTCACCCAAGGGCCAAAGTATACTTTGGCCAACGAGTCAACCACGTGACTTATTTTCCTGGGTTTTGAAAATTTTGCTATAAAGACTATGCAGTTCCTTGTAAATGGCCACAGTTTGTTCCAGGAATTACTTTTGGATAAAAATCCAGGTTTGGGCAATAGTTCTTGGCAAAAACAATCCAAGGAGCTGCACACTGCACTGGTTTACCTTTTAGGAAGCTGAGTTGAGTTTTAGGACTCAACCACTACTGCTAAAAACCCGACACCACAGAACTATTCTACAGGTCGTCCAGGGGTACCCTGTGGTCACCCAGATAAGTGAGTCTGCAAGGCCCCCTCCTCAGAAGCTTCTGATGGTAAATCTCTTTCTTGTTCAGGAAAATAATGCCACTTCCCCCGGGCAAGCAGCCAGTTCCATTATAATCAAAGATTCCCAACGCTACAACTGTAGTCCAAGCCTCCCACTTTCCCTAATCCTTCGTTTCAGCTCTTTCAAAGATGCCCTTGGAATAATACACCTTCTTGTGTCACAGAGGTTGTTGAGCCCATCCTGCAGGATATGTCCTTTTTTCAGAAGGATACAGCTCAGAGTTGTACATCCATTTAAGAGTCTTTTGGATGCTCTTTCCAGATTCTTCTTTGTATGTTCAGATCATCCCTCTGACCTTTTCCTATTTCCCCATGATCAGAAGATGGCCATGGCGCCTGGCTGTTCTCCCTAACCCAAGATACTACAAAGCAGACCAGCTCATTCCAGGCTGTGTCTTCCCTATAAATCCTCAAGTCAGCCAGAGGACCCAGGGATGACCTTAAGGTCTCCTTCGTAAGAATCAAAGCTTATCAGCTTGGTCTTCAAGAAAACCCACCAATAAATCCACTCAACTCCCAAATTATTTCTTGTTCTAGGACTTCCCACTTTTCCCTCTGTGAGTGATACCTGTCCCCAGATATAGGTGACATCGTGACTGCAGGGAGCTGGCATCTGATGGCCACCCGGAGAAACACACTCAGCACAGTGTTAAACATGTGCCAAGAGCTCAAGATGTGCCAACCACTGTGGTCCTCCCCCGCCAACCCAATGTCAGCTCCTCAAAGGCAAATCTGCAGTAATGACTTCCTAGCAAAAAAGATGCCTCAGGAAGCCATGGCAGGGCAGATCCAAGCATGTTGCCAGCTAAACCTGTCTTGTTGGCTCAGCCTGTATCGTGGGTTCAGCCTCTATTGCCCCAGAATAGCAGCATACTACAGGGCTTACCTCTGCATCGACATGCTGCAAGCCATACTGCTCGCAGATGGAGACCAGCTTCTTGCGGTTCAGGTGACCATCACGGGTGATCCCCAAGTCCTCACAAACCTCTTGCAGTTTCTCTTCTATCCAGTCCTGGGGCGGGCAAGACCCGCTCTGTGAGGCATTCAGATCATCAGGGTTCCAAAACCTTAGCTGGCCTGAAAGAAGAGCCAATGCTGTGTAGTCACCAAAGAGATCAGAGAGAGGATGCCTGTTCCAATGACAAATGTGCCTTTGGAAAGAGACTAACCGAAACACAGGCAGGAAAGGTTGACTCCATTTTCCTAAGGTCCCTAAGAACGGCTAAAATAGAGCCTCCAGTTATTAGGCTGCAGGTTTCTGTGTCCTGGCAGTCACATCTGCATGAGAACCCCATTTCCTGGGGCCACCCTGCACCCAGTTCTAGCCTGATTTAACTCCAGCTGAAGCGATGACCAGCCTAGACTGTTCCAGATTGTAACAGAAGTATGTGGAGCATCATTCCAAAGTCCTATCTCAACCACTGCTCCCTGTCTCCACTTTCTAGTTCGAATACAAAAGCACCTTTAAAACAATTTTATATTGGAAAACTTGCCTGCCTCCAAAGCTGTATCTGACCTTAGATAATCCAACAGACCAGCATGAAAGGTTACAAACCACAAGGTCTTGATGACCCATACATTAATGGCAAGTTCCATTTGAAGACTTAAGCATCAACTAACATGTTTAAGAAGATTCCTTAGGTATCCTTCTTACAAGTTCCCACTGGTATGGCATGCACTTACGTATCAAGGATTCTCTGAGGACATTAATTAAGCATGAGAGAATTACTGGCATAATGCACTACCTGGAAGCAGCCCGTAGGCATGAGAGGACTGCTCGGTGCTTTCCAACTATTTACGGACAGAAAGGCTGTCTTTACTGCTGCTGTGCTGCCGTCACATCTCAGCCCAGCGAGACCATCAGCCAAGCCACAGTGCCCTCTGGTGGCCATCAGGGCAACGTATTCCAACGCTGCATAAATAGACCTGCGGGTCACTTGGCAAAGAGTTTTCAGTTATCTATTCAGGCCTGCTGGCAAATTAACTTGAAAGTCTGTATCAGAGGGTCATTAGCCAACAAATGAAATCCTATAGCTTAGGTGTCATCTCGCATATGTCAAGACGCAAGGACCATACTGCCAGCAACTGAGGGGGTGAGTTTTGTTGCTGCCTCCAGCAAAGGAGACCCAGAAAGGTGGAGTGTGGGGAGTGCCCTGTGAATGGCAGTAGAACCCCTTTCCCTCTGTGGGTCCCCATACTTGATAGGCTCTTACCTTCAGCTTCATACTCCTCACCTCCTTGCGGCTTCCAGCGCTGGGGAAGGCAAGAGAAGATTCGTGAGTTACAGAACTCAAGAGACAAACCAGGCCTACCTTGATCACTTTACAGCTCATCACCTAGGGGAGTGGCCTGCTTCTGGGATCTTCCAGTGTTCTCCTTGGAGTGGGGTCTTTTTTTTTAAGATTTCATTTTTATTATGTTTTTATTGGAAAGGTGGATATACAGAGAGGAGAGAGAGAGAGGAAGATCTTCCGTCCGATGATTCACTCCCCAAGTGAGTGCAACGGTCGATGCTATGCCAATCCGAAGCCAGGAGCCTCTTTCGGGTCTCCCACGCAGGTGCAGGGTCCCAAAGCTTTGGGCCATCCTCGACTGCTTTCCCAGGCCACAGACAGGGAGCTGGAAGGGAAGCGGGGCTGCCGGGATAGAACCGGCGCCCATATGGGATCCCGGGTGTGCAAGGCGAGGACCTTAACCACTTGTGCCACCGCGCCGGGCCTGGAGTGGGGTCTTTTTGATTAAGCAGCCAAAGGGCACCCCGGCCATCTGCAGGGTTGCACCAACTCCGCACTGTTCTACCTCTCCCGCCCCTCCATCTGCGAGGTCACGTCATAGCAACACTGACCAAAGCCCATGAACCTGCAGTGGTTTGGGATGCTGTGAGTATCTCAAGCAGACACTTCAGACTTGGTCAAGCACGGTGGTCTCTCTGGAAGAAGCAATGAGGCCCCGACTAGACTGGTGGGCATGTGGCAGAGAGGGGCAACCCAGAACACGGAGGTGAGGAAACTTCACTTACATAAAACAAGCATTACCAGTAAATAGGCAATACAGGGACAGTAGTGACGTTTGTCTGAATTAGATCATTTCGCTTCCTTCTGCTACATCCCTCACTGGGTCTTCTCCCAGCTCACGGAGGGTGATACAACTCTCCACAGCTCAGGGTACAAGTCAGAAGCAAAAGGCAGCGCCTGATCTGTGGGGCCGCAGGGACAGGCCTGCCTCCAGCAGCGGCAACAAGCACGTGGGCAGCTCCTCTGGCTGTCCCACCAGTCAGCTTTACCTGGAGCGCCCATTTGTGCCCGGAGGTTCTGTAACCATCCAAAGAAATCCACTGGGAAAAGGCAGATCCTAAAATCAGGACTGCTGTTCTTGTCCCAATTATGCTATGCCAAGAATGAAGGTGTCACTGGTGACATCCCAGCCTAAGGATCCCTGGGATGGCTGAACTGGGCAAGACAGCTGCAGCTCCGTGCATTCAAATCAACTCCACCACGAAGTAGCCCCTGCTCGCTCCTGGCTTCAGAGCTCAGATTCCTCCAGGCCTGGGTCTGCCTCCATCTATTTCACAGGCTAAGCTTGGGAAGATGCTGAAAACCACTATTAGGAGGACACTTCAAAAAGTCCTGGCAAAAGTGGAATCAAAAGGTAAGTCTGGGGTAGACATTTGGCCCAGTAGTTATAATATCAACGGAGCTGCCAACATCTGGTATTAGAACGTCAAGCTGAAGCCCCAGCTCTGCGTTGGACTCCAGCTTCTTGCTAATAAGCACCAGGAGAGGAATCAGGGGGTGGCTCAAGTACTCGGGTCAAGGATCCCCGGTTAGTGTCATGGATGTTTCACTTCCAATCCAGCTCCCTGGGAAAACAGCAGGGGGTGGGCTCAAGGTTTTGGGCCCCAGCCCCAACATGGGAGAACTAAAAAAAGCTCTTGGCTTCCAGTTTTGAATTACCCAAGCTCTAACCAATGCAGCCATTTGGGTAGTGAACCAGGGGATGGAAGATGTGTCTATCTCTCCTCTCTCTCCCTAGGATTCTGAGTTTCAAGTGAAAATAATAAATCTTAAAAAAAAAAAAAGGCGGGGTAGAGGTCATTGTGCTATCTGTATTCCCCATATTCTTTATCCAACAGAACAAAATGACTTAACTGAAAACACATTAGAATTAAAGCCATTTGATCCACCTACAGCTAACGAAACAGGACATGGTAGTCTACCTAATAATGTTGGTCAAGGCCATCCCAGGGTCTGCCATGATGGCTTAATGGCTAAATCCTCACCTTGCAAGTGCTGGGATCCCATGTGGGTGCCAGTTCATGTCCTAGCTGCTCCACTTCCCATCCAGCTTCCTGCTTATAGCCTGGGAAAGCAGTGGAAGATGATCCCAAGTCTTGAGCCCTTGCATCCAAATGGGAGACCAGGAGGAAGCTGCTTGCTCCTGGTTTCAGACTGGCTTGGTTCTGGCCATTGCAGCCATTTGGAGAGTGAACCAGCGGATGAAGGATTTTTCTGTCTCTCCTCTCTGTAGGTCTGATCTAGCTTTCCAATAAGAATTAAAAAAAAAAAATCTTTAAAAAAAGAAAGGAAGTAACAAGCAGATCACAAGCAGGCCATGGTTTCTGAGAAGAGCACCTAGCAGGTGCAGGCATCTACGTTCCCACCAGGTCCAGAGCAGACAGACAGCCCAGCTGGGCCTCACAGGAGTGACAGCACAGCTCACACGTCTCCAGAAATCCCTGAGGCTCCAGCTGCATGCAGCTACATGGAATTTATTACATACATGTGGTCATTAATGTGATTTGTTTTCATCATTTATTCATTAATTTAATTTATTTGAAGAAGAGAGATGAAGAGAGGGAGGTATCTTCTATCCCCTGGTTCAGTCCCCAAATGGCTTCAACATCTAGAACTGTGTCGAGCCAAGCCAGGAGCCTGGAACCCTGGAACTCCGTCTAGGTGTCCCATGTGGCTGGCAGGGATCCAAGCACTTGGGTCATCTCCTGCAACTTTCCCAGGTGTGCCAACAAGGAGCTAGATCGGGAAATGCAGTATCACAGGCAGCAACGTCACCTGATGTGTCCCAACACCAACTGCTCTCATTTTGAAAGTCAGCAATGAGTTTGAGAGCCAGGGCAATACCTCCTGGGTGCCCACTTGCTCCAGCACTCACCCCTAACGAGAGACCCAGAGCTGACCTGCAGCCAGCCTCAGAGGCCACACTCCCGAAGGTGGATTCAGACTTGGGCAAGTTTCTTGGCTTCTTTGGCCTCAGTTTCTACACCTATCAAACGGGCATGCAGTAGCACAAATTTCACAGTGTAGTGGCCACATGCTGAGGCACATAATAAGCACCACACTGTGTGATTACTTTTATTGGACAAGTATTTATATAACACATATTCAACTTACACAATTTCTTCATCATTTTGCTTTTTGAAACTGAAAGCTTAAATCTGGGTAGGCATGAAGGGCCATCTATTGTTCATATAGGTTTGTAAGAAAAATGTTCAGACATTAAACGCCTGTAGCACAGACATTAGAATGCCTATGATTTATGTGAAGTTCAGCACAAGTAAATACAGGGGACCAACTTAAGGAAGCACAGACCAAACCAAGGACTCATGGTGCACCTGCTAAGTTAGCAAGTGGATTTAACTCTTACGCCACTGAGATTGTGGCTGAAAATAGGTCTGTTTCTATGCTTCTGTGCAAATAGATGGCTTTTTTAAAAAATGACTTTATGAACCAAAAACAAACAAACAAAATTGCTACATCCAATAATTTCACTTGATAATTGAAGGGAAGAAAATCAAAGAAGGTTGGGGGGAGACATATGCATAAATAGGTACGCTGCAGCACAATAAAATACTACAAACAACCCAAATATTTAACAATGGGGCATCAAACCTTAGGATACATCCTAACGTAGTCATTCAAAACGTAACCAAAAAAAACCTTGGAGAAACACAGGAAAACAGCTCATGAGACGTTAAATTAAAGACCATCATGAAAATGCAATTTGCACTAGGGTCTATTATTGCTGGCAAAAACATTTATATAATGAGACAAAGACTGGAAGGAAACAGAGATCATAAAAACAGACATTCTGGCTGAGGCGCTATGGGAACCCATTTTCTTTTTATTTCCTCTACAGTTATAACAAGCGTTTCTGTGTGACTGAGACAGGCATTTCTATTTCTAAGGCCGTGGCCACCTCTTCCGCCCACCCCTTCTCCAGTGCTTAGCACGTTAATATCCAGGACTTGGGGAGGTGGAGGTTGGTAACGGGGAGAAACCAAGAGGTTCTTTCTTTGGGGAGAACCATTTTTGCAGTGTTCCAGGGGAAGGCTAAGTGGGCAAGCTCAGGTGCTGCTTGGGCAGGTGAGTGCAGTTGGTACCCATGTCCGCTCAACATTGACTGGAGTTGACTAGAGACCCCGAGACCAGGCCTGTGGATGCAAACAGTCCCATGCAACAAAGTCAGGCTCAGACCAGTCTTATACGCCCCAGGCAGTGCCTCATATACCCCAGTGGGGGTGGCCTGGGCATGATCTAAATCTTACAGGGACAACGCTTGCCTGGTCATTCTTCAGGAGACACAGGACCTGCCAGGACACAAGGCTATGCTGATGGCCACATTCTCATTTCCAAAGCCTTCCTTCCTCAGGAGATGGCACTCATCATGCAGACTTGACCAAGGCTGCCTTGGCCCTCTCACCTCCACTAGTGGTCTGTGCTTTGAATCAAAGGGAGGGAAACCTCCCCTTGGCAGCTCAATGTTTGTTAGGAAATTCCAATTTCAGGGATGGGGGTGGGAAGTGTAGTTCATTCACAGTTCATTTATTTTCCCTCTGCCTGTCTGGAGCCAGTGGTTCCAATTTAAAAATCTGGGGAAGGGGGAGGGGAGGTAGGTTAGGAGGACTGCAGATGACATCATCCGGCTGCTGGAGCACCACCAAAGAGAAGAGGTGTCACTCAGAACAGGGCCCTGCACCCTGCAAGCTGGCAGGTGCTCTCCACTCTGAACTGTCAAGAGCACCAGAAGGAACAGAACCACCAAAACCATAGCATGCTCGAGAGAAGCACAGGCACGACAGGACAAGATCGCCCTTGAAATCATACACAGCCTCTCACTGGAGAAAAAGCAGGTATGAATGCATTCCGTCACTTCCGTGGGCTTCAGCCACTCTCTGACTCTGACCAGCTTCCTCTTGACCAAGGGCTCCATGCCTGGCCTTCACAGATATAGGTGAG